ATATATATATATATATATATGTTTGTCCAGTATGTTTGTATGTATGTCCAGTATATATGTATATATGTTTTTACCAAATATATAAAAACATTTCATTAAAAATTAATTAAGTTTTTCTAGTAACAACAGCCTGAAGAATTTGATTCAAAAACTGATAATACTGTTCCCTTTTTTTCAAGATGGGTACTTGTCAGTGACATTCATATTCATTCTTATTGATTCTTTTAATTTACTTACCAAACAAATTACGAAGAATTTCCAAAATCCTAAATTTTTCACTTTCTCGTTTTCTTTTTAATGTTAACAAGTCTTATTAGGCATCCTTTATTTAGCATATTCGACACAAAAATAATTTAATACAACCTTATATAACAGGTTTTATAGCCCCTATAAGACAAAATAATTAGAAATTACTGTTTTATATGTCAATTAGGCAACTCCACCAAATTAAGAAAATGAACATCCGTATCCTCCGAAATTTCGTAAGTGTTCTAATCGTTGTAAATTTAAGCATGAGGATGTTACTTCCCCACTAACCAATTGGCAAATTGTAGGTCAATATTGGCATTGGACCATCCTCCATAACAAGTCTGCATTAATATTTTGGCGGGAAATGGTACCAATCTCACCAGACCATAGCATCCATATATAAGATATTTTTTCTCTGACGCGGATCAGTTAAGTTCGAAGCTGTACTTATTCATTATGTATACAAAGGTGTGTGTGTATGTGGTTTATTAAAAAAGTAATGTAAACAATGTTATTTATCGTTACGGTGAAACCTGTGGCTAGACGTACTTCTTTCACATTTTATTTATTCACAGTTTGATACGCAATGTTTACTCAACCGTTTCCCTTACTGCAGTAAAACTTTTTATTATTAAATTACCACTAATGCATTCATTCGGTTAATAGTAGTGTAATTTTTTACCCAACAAGGGTGTGACATACTGCTATTGTTATTTACTTCCATTAAGGATATTCTATATTTACATTAAGTCGACCTTAACCTGATTCGAGTTTTAAAATAGAACACTTTATTAAATAACCAAATCGGAGATTCATTAACTTTTAGTTATAACGAATTGTTTAAATTTTTTTGAAAAACTGATTATGAAGCATTCTATTCCAAATCAGTGAGGTTGTGACCCAAGCATTTTTAATTTTCCCAATTTTTTGGTATTATTTACATAGTACCTATTTAGAGCAGCATTGATGAACATTTTAAAATTTTTATTTCAACTACTCAAGAAGTTACTGAATATTTGGGTAAAAATTTTTCAAATACCTACAACTTGGCAAAAACTAAAGATATCATAAACTGTTTTCATTTTATTTGTTCTGAGATGTAGTTTTATAAAAAATATATAAAAATAATACATTCTNTTAACTTTTAGTTATAACGAATTGTTTACATTTTTTTAAAAAACTCTTTATGAGGCATTCTATTCCAAATCAGTGAGGTTGTGACCCAAGTATTTTTAATTTTCCCAATTTTTTGGTATTATTTACATAGTACCTATTTAGAGCAGCATTGATGAATTTTTAAAATTTTTTAATTCAACTACTCAAGAAGTTACTGAATATTTGGGTAAAAATTTTTCAAATACTGCAACTTGGCAAAAACTAAAGATATCATAAACTGTTTTCATTTTATTTGTTCTGAGATGTAGTTTAATAAAAAAATATAAAAATAATACATTTTTATATTTTGATTTTTTTTATTTTTAAACTAAAAATGTATGGCTATTTTTTCTTCGAAAAATTCTCAAGGATATCGTATTTCAAAATACAATTTTATGAGACATAATATAGAGTGAAATATTTTTTATTCTGTTTTTTTTTTAATTAAATTTTGTTTTTGTTTTCTAAAATGCATCCTCGTTATGTATGGATTGTAATAAATTTTAATATTGTACCAAGATCGCACTCTAGAAATTGTCTCATAAATTTGCGTATTGAAAGACCATTTTTTTTGAGAATTTTTTGAAAAAAAAATGCTACTCTTATTTTAAAAAGCAATTTTTCGTCCAAAAATCAAAACATAAACAATTAAAAAAACTAAAAAATGTATTATTTTTAGTACCAACCTATATTTTTTTATAAAACTACATACCAAATCGAACAAATTGAAAAAAACAGTTCATGGTATCTTTAGTTTTTGCCAAGTTCCATGTATTTGAAATTTTTTTTATCAAAAATATTTAAATGCTCATGCTTGTTGAGGGGTTGCAACACAAATTTGAAAAAATTCATGAAAGCTACTCCAAATGGGTACTAAATAATACAAAAAAATCAAGAAAATTAAAACTGGTTGGATCACGATTTGCCCCTTATACACAATGTTTTAGGAAGGTGTACCTACCATAAATAAGAACATACAAATTAATATACTTTTCCTATGGACCAAGGATAAAGATGATTTTTTAAATAAATTTTAGCCACATCTTTTCGGAAAGACTATGTGTACCTATGAAGTTTTTGAGGGTGCCAAATTCCTTAGTGTTGTTAGTTTAACCAAACATCGCTAGCTACGACTTTTGCCTGTAACGTTTTATGACATAACATTTTTGATGTTATGTTCTTTAGTGTGTCATACAAAATTTATTTTACATAAAAAATATTCTCTAGTTGAAATTATTGGAAGTCATTTGGTTTATCTCGAAAACGGTCTGTTTTCAGCGGATGTAACAACAGTATCATATTTATATAAATTTAATTTTTACATTTTCTTACATTGTAAAAAATTTGTCTCAAAAAAGTTGCTATTTGGACAGATAATACTTAGTGACCTCTAGCAAAAGGTCAGTAACTAATAACATTGACTCCAAAACTTAACTACACCAAAATTTGTTGCATTAGATTGTTATTTAGAAAAGATATGGATATATAATTTGACTTAATTCAATAGACCCTATATTTATTAGTACTTTCAAAGAAGAAGAAATTCTAATAAAAAGGGACTCCTAGTACATAATGGCTTCATTGAATTTTTCTATACAATCCAGTTAATGCAATGTTTTAAAATAAGGTTTATTTAGTCAACAAATAGATGAGTGAACATTACTCAACGAATGGTGTTATTAGTTCACTACTAACACAATTGGGTGCGGATTTGTTTTAACAAAAAATTGTGTTGATTTTGAATGAAAATTTGTTCATTTTTTTACGGTGTATATATATGATTTCATTTTTTGTTTCGATGATAAAGTGTAAGAAAGGTAAAATTAATCTAATTTGTCCCCAGTCACAATGATTTGGTCTTATGATTACCGTATTTCATAAAGCGGCGGTTACAATACACAGACTTTCGTACGAAATCGAACGAATTCTTAACAAATTATTCGTACGTATACAGCGGTTACTTGGCTTTATTATTATAGTTTAAATATAGTAAAAACGATCCAAATTATTTATCACTAGTCCAATCGCTCACATGTAAATATACGTATTTTTTAACGTTACATTTCCAATAAAATTATTTTCGTTGTATCAGAAATTCTTTAGAAGGAGGTCCAATATTAAAACACACTTATATATACATACCTATCTCCTTTCTTCTTGAGTATCCTTCTTCCTATATTTTGTATTATAGAAATATTTTTCTTTTTACCTACCGAGGCTCATTCTGTTGCATTACAGATTCTTGCTTATTCAACTGTAATAGCGGTTGCTCAAAGTGGTATCTTAGGAGGCGACTATGGTTCTACGTTCTCCACATCCTATTCCACCGCCCATGAACCAATTCTAACCCATGGGTTTAATACACCAGTCTTTGTACCAGAATATCAACCTGTTTCCCATAACATAGACTATTACGCACATCCTAAATATGAATTCAGCTATGGAGTCAAAGATCCTCACACAGGGGACGACAAAGCCCAGCACGAAGAAAGAGATGGAGATGTGGTGAAGGGTTACTACACCCTTACTGAACCTGATGGTACGAAACGTACTGTACATTATACAGCCGATAAACATAATGGCTTCAATGCAATAGTGGAAAAATCTGGACCTGCTGTTCATCCAGAAGTTTATGGGAAAGCCGTATCAGCTGCCGTACCAACATACTATTACCGCTAGGAATTGATTCGTGATATATTTATCTATTTATTTATTATTAAGTAGTAAATTTAAATTATAAGAAATATTAAATTTCCTTTAATATTGAAACTCGGGTGAAAATAAAAATACCATCACGTTATTTATTGCCTCACTTTGAAGGAAATCATAACTCAAGCTACACCCAAAAACAATTAATATGGATTTTTTTAAATGTTGTACCTACTAATATACACATTTTCAAGGACACTAAACCATGTTTAATTTCGTAATATTTAATTCACTCTACTTAAAAAAGGTCAAGAAACTTAATTTATTCGTTCGACTGGAACAATGTTTATTGGCAAATCTTTAATAACAAGCATCCGGTTCTGAATTATTCGTTATTGAATTATCTTAAATTTAGCTATTATTTAATTACTTGTGATAGTTTGCAATTCAATTTTTTATAGCACGTTTTAGATATTATACTTGCAGAAATACTTATTTAATTAACAAATACTAGTTTGTAAATAACTATAAATAAGAAACTACAACATGTACTATTTTTAAACTTATAACGTATAATTAATTCTTCTAAGAAAATAATCGGCGAAGAAAATTATTTTATATATTTAATAGCTCAAATATTAGTGACAGGTTTATTTAATGAACTACAATAACTTTATGACATAATGCTATTTTGAAGTAAAATGGAACAAAAAATAGGAGCGGCCGAAAAAGCAAGACTGGTGTTCATTTTCCTTATTTTTTAATGTAACTTATGTTGAAGCAAATGTTAATAGTTCAAATAAAATGCTATTTTTAATGATGCTTTAAAGTCTAAATGTCCCACCAAATATTAGCAACAAATTGAAGATTTTAATCAGTTTATAACCTTGATAATTGGGAAGTTTTGACCAACATTTCTTGGAACAAGCCACACTTCACAGTATTTTTTTTTCTACCAAAAAGTTAAAATCGTATATTATTATTATTATTAACTTGTGTTTTAGTATTTCAGATTTTGCCCTGGTGATCTTTTAATTCTCGAGCTAATGGTACAAAGTTTATATGTATATTTGTTGAAACATTCGAGGAAGATAGTACAAAAACTGTAAAGACTATAGTATTCCTATTACATATTTGCCAAGAAAAGTTAATGTAATTAGTATGGTACTAATACTAATTTTAACTATTTTAAGCAATAGTTTTTCAGTTACTTACATTAAAACTATGTATAAAAATTCTGTAGTTTTATATGGATAAATAAAGATATGTATTATTATTATTGCTTTTTTATTTACTAGAAAGAGATTAGTTCTATTTTTATTTGATTATTTGTTAGATAAAAGATAATTATATAATACTATTAACATCAATTTTATTGAAAATTTAGCCGCATCTGAACGAAAAAAAAATAATTAAATCAACCCCCGCACATCAGGTGTCAAACAAAAAACCACACAGAAAAGCATAGAATTTCAAACATTATTTAATATTCATTATTGCTTTTCCAAAAAAATAATTTCTTTTTCAGAAAACAATATACCTAGGTATGGTGATTACGAAGATAGTTGAAACCGTATAAAAACTAAAAGTCGGCATCTCTTTATTGTGCCCCGGCACAATTATCTACTGTTCATTATGCTTTTCCAAGATAACGTCTTTTTCAGGAAACAAACCTAGGTATGGCAGGGCTGTATTTATTATTTATTTATTACTTTAAGTGGGTATTTCTTACTGATATGGTAACATACTATGACGATCTATTTGACAAACCTAGACCTATACGTATTTCCTTAGTTCCGCAATTTATTTTATTTTTCAAATATGAGAGCATTTTGTGACTGAGAAATATATTCAGTCACGACGAGACGAAGTCAAAAATTAAAATATGTTTTACAGTTTTCTACAAGCCATAAAATTTCAATGGTTAGACATTAGACATTAGACATTGTTTATTGGTGTTAATCATACAAAAGTATTTACACAAGTCAGAATTGAGGAAAAGAAAAGAAAACAAACAGGCAGATTAACAAAATAAAAACAAAAGGAGAACCAAAGTATCGCGTACAGAACCACGTAAGAGAGTCGATTTACAATATAAAATAATTAAAATAATAAAACAGTAAAATCTACGTACTAAACATTATAACACATAACAGGGTCAAATAAAGTAAANAAGGAGATGTAAAATTATAATAAAGATCTATGACATAAAATTTCAATTTGTTATTATACTTTATTTATCCATAACTTCAATAATACAAATTATTTTGCGATAAAAAATATGTCAACTCCTAGCTCAATACCTTATCTATATAGACCACATATAATTTTCTCAGAAAATAGTGTAGTTTTTGAAAAGACTATGCTTGGGTGAAGGTCTGTTTTCAGAAAATATCTTTATTCCCCTCTTAACACAACACAACCTAATGTGTGTAATATTCGTCGGAAATTCCGCACGCTAATCGCTATCTATCTCCCGCATACGCTTGCCGAACTCGCGCAAAAAGCCTTAACATTTTTTGTATTCTATCCAGCCAACGTTCTACATGCCTTCCATTTTTAACAATAATATTTTTTAAATAAATAACAACCAGATACTCTGCATTAATAAAATTATGCACAAAGAACTAAAAGACGATTACTGTTTTAATTATTTAACGTAATATTTGTTAACTATCACTAGATATCTCATCTTTGCCTTTTTCAGGGATTTAAGGAGTCTAAGGGAGACTACGGAAATATAGGAAGCCATGAATTAATACTTATAAATATTTGCCCATATTTTTACATGATGTACGTTTATTTTTCTGTATGCAAAAATTTTCAACTAAATAAAATCTATTTCGATATGCAACCAGAGTTACTGCCTTTAATTCCCACAAAGTGTTAAGAGTCGCGTATACAGTGGTGATCATATTTACTTAATTTATTAATTTTCTTGTGCCTCTATCGCTAACTGGTATTTGAACGTTACAGAGAAATATACAGCACCAAAAATTCACTCATAGGACCGATCTAAGTATGTTTACTTTGTATGTTTACTTATCTTTCTGTTTATTATTATTAAGACCGAGCTTAGTCCATGCTTTTCTCAAAAAGGTATATTGATAACTAGAAATATGTATCATAAGCCCATCTAAAAAGAACTTCTTCAATAAACGCTGAGCTGAACAGACGTCTCTAATTTTATTTATTAGCCCTAATTTCCAACAAATAGGGTATAACTTTTTTATTTCTCATTTTGAGGAAAAAGTCATACTTGTTAAAAAATGGAACTTCTATTCAAATATACAGAAATGCAGTTTTAAATAAGCCAATATATAGAAGATATCCCCTACCTACTACAAAGTTATAAGAAATATACGAATAGTATATAGTAATTTCATGTTTACTATTATACTAGGCTAGTTAAGAATTATAATAAAGATTTTGTCCAGACTGTCTTAACCACAGATGATAAAACAAAACACTTATTAGCTGAAATTTGACTTAACTTTTCAGCGAAACTAAAAGTAATTTTAATTTATTACTCTGAAAAATTAGGCGGGCCTTGTCATGAGCAAATAAAGTACAGTTGTTTGTTGTATAGTACTTTATTTTAAAGTGTCATAAAACATAGTAACTTTACATATGGCCTATTTGTAAAATTATAAATTTGTTTGTAAAATATATCACAAATAAAGCCGATAGTATTAAACAAACTACGCCAAAACAAGATACCTACCTACCTTTTGTGTGATAAAAACAATGTAGTTCTTCGTTTCCATTTCACGACTATTACCAACAGGAACAATTATGACAACATAGTAGTAATTAATACCCGCTTAGGTTTCCTACATCTAATCTATTTAGCTTTAAAAAACTGTTTACGAACTGGAACGGTTACAGTTTCCTTGAATTTAGCGAAGCAATTTCGTACAATATGATATTCGTATGATAATAATTATTTCCTTGTACATAATTCGACGTGTTGCGTAACATCCACGCAACTAAAACGCTTGTTCAACGTCCTTGTATACAATGCAGAGTCAGTGAACTGTGTAAAAATGCTCCAGCTTTTATATCTGCATTTCTACAAGGTCATAATGAATAATAAGCTTTTTAGGCTAGTGGGTAGTAGAACACTTTCTCGTGTTTTAAAATCTGAAACACTCTCTCTGTGAATTTGTGAACTTCAACTGAATAGCAGTGTTTTGCTGCCATCTATTAACATCCTCTAAACTACAACTATTAATAATTCTCTACAGTTTTCTTAAAAATTTACAAATAGCGTTTCTGTAAACTGGTCATTGATCTAGAAAACAAATTTATGCACCGCGCATATTTTTACTGTAGGCATCTGGTGAAACAAATAACTATATTTCGTTAAATTATGCCTCATACCAAAAGCAATTAGAGTGCAATCAGCACCATTAGCAACCTTTTAAAAAATTGATTGTTTAAGGTTAAATATGTCTATAATATTTTCGGTTAAATCTACTGTGTATTCCATGAAAAGGTTGTGTGTTCAGAAAATAACCGAATTTTTTTAATTACGCGCTAATAGAGATATTTAGTAATATGCAGTTGACAATACTGCATTGCGCATAACCTCCTCTGTAACCACATATTCTAGGATTGTTGATATCTCATTTAGTTTTCGTGATATTATTATTTGAGTACAACGTGTTTAAGTGTTAGTGACGATTTTTGAAATAAGCGATTTTCTAGAACAACGATGCAACGTAAAATTTTGCGTGAATCTGGGGACAACTTCAAGGAAACGTATCTACTTTTGAAACAACCTTACTGAGATGATTCCCTGGGTCGTGCGCAATGGTACGAATGCTTTTCTCGATTTAAATGTGGTCGCCAGTCAGTTGAAGATCAACCTCGACCAGGAAGGCCTTCCACTTCAGCTGATGACACCTACTTACAGAAAGTCAGAGATATGGTGCAAGTAAATTGCTGATTTATCGTCAGAGACATTGCAGGAGAGGTTAGCATCATAATTGGGTCAAGCCAGAAAATTTTGATTGAAAAATTGAACATGCATCGAGTTGCAACAAAATTTGTTCCTCGTTTGATGACCGAACAACTCAAAGAAAATTGTGTCGACGTTTGTCGCCAACTTCTTGAACAATTCAATGTCGATCAAACCTTCATTCAAGGAATTATAATAGGAGACGAAAGCTGGGGCACAACATTGAGACAAAATTCATTCATCACAATGGATTGGCAAATAATCTCCATGCCCCAAGAAAGTACGTCAGTCTCGATCCAATGTCAAAGTGATACTCACTCTTCTTTTCGACATTAATGGAATTGTGCATTTTGAAATCTTGCCTCGAGTTGAAAAAGTGAAACATGTGTACTGTCAAGGCGACCAGAGCTGTAGCGAGACAACTTATAGTTCCTACACCATGGCAATGCGCCTGCATGCTCAGCTTTGTCGTTCGTAATAATAGTAGTTCGTCAGCTTCGTGCCAAAAATCAGATTACTATCGTCTCTCACCTTCCTTATCCATCGGACTTGGTCCCTTGTGATTTTTTCTTATTTCCCAAATTAATATCAGTGCTGAAAGGACGCCGTTTTCAGACTATTGATGGCATCAAAGCAAATTAGTCACAAACTTTAAACACCATTTCAAATGAAGCTATCCAAGACTGCTTGTCATCAGTTTAAGTAGAAGGCCTCCCTCGTGGAGGATCATCTCAATTTACTGACGACCACGTTTAAATCGGAGAAAATGGAAAACCATTCATCTCATTGCGTACGACCCATAGCATCATTTCCGTAAGCTTGTTTCAAAAGTTGAAACGTTTCCGTAAGTTTATCCCAGGTTCTCGCAAAATTTTACATTGTATCGTTCAAAAATCATCAATAACACTTAAACACGTTTGACTGAAATAAGGATATCACGAAAACTAAATGAGATATCCAAGAATTAGTGGTTACAGAGGAGGTTATGTGCAACGCAATGCTGCCAACTAACTATATCCATTAGCACGTAATTAAAAATGTTCAGTTATTTTCTGAAGAGATCTCGTGTTCACAAAATGTTACTTTTATAGTCTTTTTCTAAAATAAAGTCTGCTAAAATTTTCTGTATACACCCCTGTACTTAGCATACTCTTAAACGGGTATACTTATACCAAATCGCATGGCAAAATAGGGACTTCTTACATTTTTGCAGGTAAATTTATATATATAAAAATATCGAAATTTTTTTTTGTCTCTTGTGAAAATATGTTAGTTTATCATGTCTGAAAAGCCCCGTCAAAAAAATCTGCTCAAATTTTTTAGAGGTCGCTCAAGATGTTTTCAAATTTCCAAAATCGTCAAAAATTGAATTTTTTGATGATAAAATAACGAAAAAAAATTTAAAAAATAAATTCTATTTTCGACGATTTTGGAAATTTTTAATCGTGAGCGACCTCTAAAAAATTTTTTTAGAGTTGATTTTTTGAAGGGGCTCTTAAAACGTGATAAACTAACATATTTTCACAAGAGACAAGAAAAAAAAATCGTTTTTGGGCCACCCTAATAAAGATATAATTTAAAATGTGTATAAAAATGGGCATAGAAATGCAAAATATACAAGGTGAGTTATTAATAATGGTACACAGCCTAATGGCAGATTGTTAACGTCAAAATACAGGGTGATTCAGAACGTATCCAAAAAAAAATTCTGGATGTACGGGGGACTCTTACAAATACAATTTTGTAAAGAAAAAATCAAAAGGGCAGTTCGAAAATGATTTAAAAATACACTTCTGCACGGCACTGGAAACTGGTCCGCTGTAAAACCTGACCTGGCACAATGCTACCGTCAAGGCTGCAGTGATAAAAACGGGCAAAAACTTGAAAGAATTTCGCAAGGAAAAGAATAAATAGAATTTTATAGCACCTATTTTATATCAGCAAATTCAACTGATTTTTGCCGCTATTGTTATTATTAATTAATAAAATTCATTTGTGGTTTTAAATAATAAAATAAGTTGACATACCTGATGTTACAATAACGGTTCAAAATTTTGTCCACCGACGTGTAAACAAATTTGGGTCCGTCTTACTCAGTTTCTACGAACTAACACAAATTCTGTCTTGTTTCACCATAACATAAATACTTCACCATAATACCATTGTGTTCTTGCTTCACCATAAACTAAAACAATATCCAACAACTCCGAGTTGCTATACACGCAAGCCATTTTTGACACTAACTACTAAAAAACTATTATAAACATAGGATTTCAGTATTCGGAGTCGCTGAGGCCACGTGGCTCTCCACGCGTATTACGAATGACACTAGAGACTACAGTTGTCCAGCTATGTAATGGTTAAAAGCACTACAACTTCAATAATTTTTTTCTTGGAAACTATAAGGATTTTGCAACAAATTTTTTTACAATATTGACTCCATTTCTCATGCCGCATCTATCCCCAAATTTTTTTGGATAAGTTGTGAATCACCCTGTATAGTGATTGAGTCAAACATACCTCAATCAATCGTTGCTGCTTTTCGTTCTACAGGGAGTTAAAGTTGAAAAAATATTTTCGATTTTTTACTATATTTTAAGTATATATGGACCGATTGTTTTGAAAGTTTGTAGTTTCACGTTTTTTGAGGTGGCAAATACGAATATGCAAACAGTGTTGGGGTCACGTCTAGGGAGGCGCTAGTTATACTGTCCTATCAATGTACAAATATGCCTAACTTTTTCTAATTTACAATTTTCTATTTTTTAACTAGAAATTGTTGCACTACGTTGAATTCTAAATAAAAATATATACTTGTTAATCGATAAACTCAACCGTTTTCGAAATACAGACATTTTAAGTTTTTGAAAATCAATGGGAATTAAATTTAAAAATTATTTTTTCCAAAGTAGTAGGCATTGACATAATAAATTGACAGCACATTATACCCATGAAGTAAGAGAATATATTAATAGAAATTTACCGCACCGTTGGACATACATAAAATACTTATAGAAAAAAATCAAAAATATTTTTTCAACTTTAACACCCTGTAGAACGAAAATGAGCAACAATTGACTAAGGCAAGTTCGGCTCAACCACTATATTTTGACGTTAACAATCTGCCATTAGGCTGTGTATAATTATTAATGACTCACACTGTATATTTCAAAATAAGATTGCAGCTTAAGCTTTCCTTTAGTTACCTTTTCGTAAAAATAGAAACTTGCATGGGATGTATAACAAATCATTTTATGATACAGATTGCTAAATAATATTTCCACTAGGTACCACAAAATAAAAAAAAATGTTTAATTCCCTTACTTTAAAATGATGGTATGAATGATTAACCTAGTAGGTATACAATTTCAATATTAACTTGCAAAATGAAAATATAAATTCCAACTACGTATCGAAGATATAGCACTGAGGGATTTAAATATACTTTTTTTTTTATTAAACTTAATATCTACCGTAGTTTATACAGTATCTTAAAATTATTAAAGTAATTAGTGGAGTTAATTACAACAATTTTCTATAATTAACTTGTCTAGATTAACTGCTAAAATAAATGTAAAAGGATTTGATTAACCACAATTTAAATTATATTTATTAAAAAACTAAATCAGTTAAAATAAAGGTACTTATCAATTTCCAAGTTGGCGTAAAAAATTCTAGGTCATTCAGATACATTCCTAATTTCAACATATTTTCTTAACATTTTAGACAGGAATAAGCGCCAACATCAGTCTACCATAAAATTCCTATAAAAGACAAATTTTTACCCAGACAAATCAGTTCAAAATTTAGTCTTAAGAACTCAACAATTAACTAATTGCGCAATGTTCTCACGGGTATGTATTAATAAATTAATTATAACTTAGTTAGATATAATAGTGAAAATAGTGTTTTATGTAGAAAAGTGTTATGCCGGAAATAATTTTCTCGTGAGAAAAAAAATTAACATGCTTCTCTTTCAAAGTTATTAATATTAGCATTTCACTTATTAGGTGGTTAATTAATTTCATTAAATTGTATAAAATCATGTTAAAAAATATAGAAATAAAAGATATTTAAACTAAAGTCAGCATTTTCCAAAAATAACAGTGCCTAGGAGAATAAATAAATATTTTCTTTGTTATAATAATCTTGGTATATTTTTTAATTCACTCTAGTATATGATGAACATTTTTCTTATTCAAAGTAAAAGAAATACAAAATGTAATCTAAATTGTTAGATCTTATTAAAACTATTTAGTTAACTAGACAAATACCCGTAGAGAAATATATAGCGATTTAAACATTTATGAAAAATAAACATTGCTCTTATATAATCCTAATAAGTTTTAAACAGTAATAATTTTTACCATTTCCTTTTATAAATAATTATATATTTTTGTATTATTAATTAATTCCACATGTTTTTCTTAAGCAGTGATTATATGAATGTTTTCCCCATTGAGCTTACAGAAGGAATCTTTCTTATTATTTAGAATTAATCATTATTTAGCCATTCACAAATTTTTATAATAGTAATATGTCTTCAAAAATAACTGTAGCTTAAACTACTATACGAACTACACATTTTCTTGCATAATCTTAATTAATTAAGAAATATTTACTAAACAGATAATTTATTATTGGTTTTAAACAAACATGAATTTTAATGAATATATTTAGTTGTTTTTTAACAAAGACTAGTAGATAATTCTACCATTCATTTTATCATCATAACTGATTTATTATTAATTTAGAGTGTTTCTGATATCTGACTAAATTAATGCTAATATGTATCATCCTATCAATTTTTCTAAGCTTGGTCATATTTTCCAGATTGTGGTTCTTTCTGCCATCGTAACACTAGTTTGCGCTGGTCATGGAGCAACTAGTTACTTCAACTATGTAGCTGGTTCCCCAACTATTGGTCACGGCCATGGTGGCGGTCATGGTGGTGGTGACGGTGGCGGCCATGGTGGCGGACATGGTGGCGGTCATGGTGGAGACGGTGGACACGGCGGACATGGTGGAGATGATCATCATGGACACCCCCACTACGACTACAGTTATGGAGTAAAAGATCCCCATACTGGTGACCACAAATCCCAACACGAGGAACGCGATGGGGATAAAGTAAAGGGATACTACACTGTGTCCGAACCCGATGGTACTCATCGTACTGTTCATTACACTGCCGATAAGCACAACGGATTCCAAGCTGTTGTGGAGAAATCTGGACACGCTGTACATCCCGATCATGGACACCACACAGCATTCGTTGCTACCCACGTCCATGACAGCCATGGAGGTCATGGGCATGGTCACCATTGAGCTTGACTTGTAAATATTATATTTTTGTTCCTGATAATTTGTATTTGTATTTGTAGAAATAAATGGCACACATTTACAAATTACTGTTTTTATTTAGAGACAGAAGATTGAAATGGACTAAAAAAATTACAAATGCAACGTATTATCTTGAACAGTTATATGTATTAGTAAATTCATTTCTTAGATCAAGACATATTCATTACATATTACTTTGATCGACAAACATCAGAAATGAAAAATTAAAAATTAATCGAATAACCCTTACGTCCAAAAGAATCAAAGGTTATTTTTTATGAAAATAGTTTTGCCTGGCAGAAACACTCACAGTGAAATAAGCACAAAAGTAAGAAATACAAAATACACATTACTGTATATTTCGCGCACGATAAACAATCTGTTTTCGTTTTCAGGGCAGACAATGATTTTTCGATTTTCGAAATCTCAACTACTTATTGAAGTGTGCGATATTGGTGTGTATTTTGTATGTTTTATTTGTTGTTATCAATTTTTGATTAGATAAAACTATTTTCATAAAATTAAACCTTGATTGATTCATATATTTTTTTTCACTGATGACAAATTACCCAATAAATTAAAAATAAAACGGAAATAAGTAACTCCAGACAATATTCAAACATCAGAAAGTGCTGGAATAACGGAATAGTTACATCATAGCATAGCTGCAAACCTATTTCCAAGAATAAATTTTTTTTATTTTTTTTTTAAATGATCAAAACTATTTTTAAGTACAACTGCGTAATTAATAAACAAGCTCATTTTACATTTCTCAGAAACTTGGTAAATAAATCAAATGTAAGTATTTAAATAAAGCAGGTCGTCATATAATTTTCTTCTTGTATATATAAAGCATCGGTTTCGTTTTCCAAAATGTACCAAAGTCTTGACTTAACGTTCTTTAATAAATTCCATCATGTCAAATTTTAACTATTTATCGTTTAGCACTTTATTTTGGAAAAGTCTATGTATAATTTAGGGTGGTCCAAAAAAAAAACGAATATTTTTTTTTTCGTGTTGTGCAAAACCATACTTATCGTATCAACTTCGACGTCACCTGTTACATGGGTGTTGTATAATAATGAAAACGTAATATTGACAGTTGGTAGAAGGAAGCGCAAAAACAAACGCTTAGGTGGGGAATTCTGGAAAGAAGCAGATGTTTAGCAGATGTTTAATGATAACAATTCTTCTCTGTACGTTTAGCCTCCATTGCTTTATGTTCAAGGGCATATATTTTTCTAAAGTAAAATTGTAACAATTATATTAACGATTGCTCATTATTTATTACATGTTAAAATATATATATTGTCGTGACTGCCCAGATATTGCAATAACAACTCCTTTGTTTCAAGTTTAACTTGTTTTGTCATGATTACATTGTTCGAAAAACAAGTAATAAAGCATTTCTTGTGCTCACTTTATGTCATACGCATATAAGAGCCTTGTTGAATTTACTAACATTTTCGCCCGTGAGGAACGAATCTGAAAAAAAAGAATAATTAAACACCAAAAAATAATTGCTAAAACATATATTCCGAAATCTCAACTATAACTGGATTGCCTCCCGTATTGGACTCCAGTACCTTCCGGCCCTGCCAGCTAACTAACAACAAACCTCTTCAGTTTTACTTGGAAGTGTGTATATCTAATTTGAGTGAGAAATTAAATAAGTCGGGTGTTATTTATCATTAGCAAAGGATCTTAATTTATGCCTTTTGTTAGCGGTTGTTTTGCATTTATATTTGGGTAGTTAGAGCAACGATCGTGGGTTTCTCTGTCATGCTCTTTCCCCGCAGGAGCTCCAGGTGAGCCTGGCACTCTCATTTTATGTTAAATGGTTGTTAATGTTTTTGTTGTCCTTTTTATTTGTCACATGTCTAATTTGAAGACTGTTGTACGTAAATAATAAAGTTAGGTGTATTTACTCCGCTTTTGTTTTTATAAAATTAAACCATACTTCCCCTCTTTAAAGTTAGTATCCAGCGCCTTCCGGTCAATTAAAAATAGATGTATACAACTTTGGTATTCCTTATGACAATCACATATTTTTGGCCACAATTACGTTTATTTTTTTTTCGATCGAACCCGGGGTTGTTATACTATAGTTTCTCTTGTGAAAATATGTTAGTTTATCATGTTTTAAGAGCCCCCTCAAAAAATTAGTTCAAAAAAAATTTTTTAAAGGTCGTTCAAGATTTTTAAAAAACCAAAATCGTCAAAAATTGATTTTTTTTTAATTTTTTATTATTTTCTAGGTTGAAAAAAAATCTCGATTGTGAATATTTCAAACCGATATTTTAATTTCTAAGTCACTCATAATTATTTTAACATTAAAAAATGTTTTCGAGCGACTAAATATCAACGACCTAATAATTTTTTTTATTGAATTTGAGGAACAAAAGAATAGAAATAAATCACGAGACACTTAAAAAATTTCTCGATGCAAAATTTACTACCGCCTGTATCAAATGTTTATAATTTTTTAATTTTTTAAAATTTATGTGTCTCGTGATTTATTTCTATTCTTTTGTTCATCAAATTCAATAAAAAAATGTTAGTTATCGTTGATATTTATTTTGATAAGTCGCTCGAAAACATAGGTAAGTACCTACGCTCCTTTGAAAGTTAAAATAATTATGAGTGACCTTTAGAAATTAAAATATCGATTTGAAATTTTCAGAATCGACAGTTTTTTCAACCTAGAAAATGATAAAATAACGAGAAAAAAAATTTTTTACGATTTTGGAAATTTTTTAAACCCTTGAGTGGTCTCTAAAAAATTTTTTGAGCTAATTTTTTGAGGGGGCTCTTAAAACATGATAAACTAACATTTTCACAATAGAAAAAAATATATTCGTTTTTTTTTTTGGGCCACCCTAATGTATATAGAAGTAAGTAGGTATCAAAATTTTAACTACGTATTTAACTCATCAATACTTGGTCTTAAAGATAACATGATGTTTTTTAAATTTAAAAGTTTTGTTATCTACCATTGAATAATGAGTTGAAACTCTTATTTGAGTTAATAATAAACAAAGGGAAGCACACAATTTGTACTAATTAGTGTTAATATTTAACATATTTAAACTAGAAGAAAATTTTCAAATAATGAATACCCACTTTATTAATTCACATTCACTACTTATGTATTTAATTCATAGAGGCTTTGTTGTTGCTATTTTAATGAAGATAAAAAATGAGTTTCCCAAGAAATGCATTAGGTAAAACTTATTCCTATTGATGAGCTAAATATGCACTTGAATAAAATATAAATCTTGTAAATATGGAAATGATTGTAAATAATTTTGTTGATGTGCTTACTGATTGCACTTACTCTTAAGCATAAATATAAATATTCTTGTAATATTATGGTTAAAAGTGTCTGGCACAATGGGATTGTATTGGTATGAATAACTTAATAGTGGCGAATCTTAGCGAAAAATTTAAAGATACTTTTTTATGTACTTTATTCATTAGAATATAAAAATACGTTACAATAACTTGTAGAAAATGCAGTGGCATAGATTTTTTTTATAAAAAAGGCGATGATGCCTGTCTAGTTGTACACCACTTGTTGAACCTTTAGAGGTCATATTTTAGAGAATGCAAGGCCTACTATCATATATTATTTGTACCAAATTTTATTGAAATCGGTTAATACATCCTGAAGATATAGACAAAAAATTAATTTTTTTTATAACTTCAACTCCCTGTATCTCCAAAGCGAGGCCGTTGCAGACCTATTTTTATAAGAGATGTATCTTGCCCTCAAAGTTTCCAGCATTCACCTTGTATACAAATTCTGAACCAGGAACCAGGACTAATTTCCAAACCATGAAATAAAAAGGTTTCAGTCACATCAGGAGCATTAACGGACATTGAAACGAATTAAAGTATTTACTGATTGAAAGATATCATTAAAGACAGTCAAAGAATAACATCTAAAAAAGTAGGGGAATTCCTTAGAGTTTGACAGTGAAGAAAAAAAACTAATTAATACAAGAAAAGATTATAATATCCACATTGACCATGAACCTATTGCTAGGACCATTTAATGCCACATTACACAAACAAACAGGAGGGTTACAAAGAAATCACAATAGAATTACGACGTAAACTGATGAACTGCGAAGTATAGTGACTAACTATTATATTAAGTTTCGATAGGAATCAATCTCGAACGACATAATGCTTTTGATGCGTTAAATATTTTTGTTATGACAAAATCTATCGAAACTTCAAGGCATATTGTGAAAAAGGGTTTTATAGTGATTTGTGAATATATAACTTTTTTAATATACCGGGTGGGTATATCTTGAGATAAAATAATATCTCGGTTGGACTCGATTATTCCGAAAAAAGTTTCAGACAAAAATTGTAGGGCACTATTGGAAGGTCTATATTACGACTTCCGGTCTAGTCCCGAAGTGGTGTTTTTAGACCGGAATTTGATTTTTTTAAATGGAAATTCCCTCGCACAATTTGGTATGGTGGTCTTACTTACCTGTTTGAAATAAACTTATTTCAATAAGTGCTCGAATTGGCGACCGTCAGCTTCAATGCACTTAGTGATCCGAACTTGAAAAGATTGTACTCAACTGCAGAGCACATCAGGTGATATTTTGGCACAGGCATTTCGGATTGGTTGCATCATGCTTTCACGAGATGTTGGCATTTCTTTGTAAAGTTCGCTCTTTACGTAATCCCATAAATAAAAGTTTGGAGACGTAAGGTCTGGCGATCTTACTGGCCAATTTACTGGACCTAGACTACCGATCCAATGTCTATTGAATTCGCTATCCAAAACTTCACGAACAACTCGGAAGTAATGCAATAGACATTCATCGTGTTGAAACCACGTTTGTTGTCTTACATCTAAAGCTACGTCCTCAAGCAAAAGCGCAAGTTGGTTTTCCGAAAAATTACGATATGTTTCTCCATTCAATGATGTATGAACCCGCAGTCTTGTCAGCAACTATTCCACTCCAAACGTTCACGGACCATAGACACTGATGCTCAACTTCACATAACCAATGTGGATTTTAAATACTCCAGTAGTGCATGTTATGCCTATTAGCCGTGCCGTGGTTTGTAAAAGAGGACTCGTCTGAAAATAGTACTTTAGTGGGAAAAGAAATTAGGATCTAATTGTATTTGTTGACGTGCCTATTGGCAAAACATAACTCGGTTCTAAAAATCATCACCATGAAGTTCTTGGTACAATAAAATGTGGTAGGGGTGATATTTATAATGTTTTAATATCCTGCTTACACATTTTCTTTTAAGTGATCCCAACAAGGTATTTCGTTGTCTCGTGTTTTTTTTTTTGTTTTTATGGCCATTTTATGGCCAAAATAAATAAGTATTTTTTTTCGTCTTTCAGTCGAAATCCGTGGTAAAAAATGGTGTTTCCATTAAAAAAAAATCTAAAAACGCCACTTCTGGTCTAGGCCGGAAGTCATAATATGGATCTTTCAATGACGCCCTCGGTACCCTAAAATTTTTTATTAAAACTTTTTTCGAAATAATCGAGTCCAACCGAGATTTTATTTTGTCTCAAGATAAATACCCCACCCGGTATATTTTTCTTTTTTTCTGATATATACGGTATAATACGGAATCTGTGGGGTTAATAGAAACTGAATTGTAAGATAAACTAGTACAAGAACGGCAAAAGTTTATACATCACACATGAGTTGGTCTCTTGAGCTTGGTATTTGTTTCGGCCATTTGTTTACTTACTTTAAATATTATTTATGTAAGTAATAAATGTATCTAATAATTTTTTATATAAAGAAAAAACTTTAGTCACGTGTTTCACCTGGAGTAAATTTAAATACAAAAAATAAATAGCACATTTTTTGGTTATCAAAATTCGAAGTGAGAAAGTAAGGTTTGATATTTTAAATTTGTTTGTTTTTGTCTGCTTTCATTGCTAGAGAAGTCATATGATGTACGACCTAGCCCAGTATCAGCTGTATTCTGTAGCTTATAGGTTAAAATTAACCATCCCGTTAAGATATTCATTTTAACCTTACCGCTAAAAATAATAACTCGAACTGATATTCTGTATGTTTTTTTAACGGCCCAGTTAAAATTATTTTATTAGCCGTATGTTAATTTTTCACTGTTATTGTAGTTAGCAGTAAGGTTAAAGCATAGAAATATTTAGATTTTTTTATGGGTAAAATACGTCAATTTGTGATAATATAACTTCGATTGGTGGATTAGTACAAATAAAGAATTTATAAATGCTTGTGATTTAGTCGAGTTATGGGTGATAAAAAAAATAAACACGACAAAAAACAGATCCAGCTAATTGCTGACTTTTGAAAGTCAACAATATTTTACAACAAATTGCAGCCACTTCAAATTGTTGTTGCAAATAAAGCTTGAAAAGATTTAATAACGTTATAAATAACGTTATAACGTTTATAAATAATAGAAATCAATTATACCATTTGTCAAGCCAGATTAAATTTTAACAGCATCTATTTTGGTCCCGCTAAATTTTAACATATTTGGTTAAAATAAACCCATTAAAATTTTTACAGAATACAGCATGAGGTTAAACAATGGGAGGTTAAAATTGTGTGGCCTTGACGTTAAAATTTCACCAAAAGCGTTACAGAATAGACTCGTATGTGGGCTAGTCGCCAACGGGTGGTATGATGTCACAACATGACTTTCGTGCGTCTTCCCGAGCTCCGTTTTTGTTAATTATTTTGAGGGAAAATTTGTTAAAAAAAGTAAGCGCATATTATCTAACTATGATGTATAGTTTCTGAATATGAATTAGATAACAAAAACTTGCTAAATGATGCCTTTACCCACTTCTTTCCTCCACAAGCCAAGTTTATCAGGGCGCTATTTTGTTGTTGAGTTGTTCAATTGTGCAGTTAAGATTATACACGTAGAAGCTTAATCTGTTTTAAAATAATAATAATTGTCCACCTAAGTCACCCAGTCAGGCAGCCTATGCGTAGATAGTGTTCAGTCATTGTTTTCTCCATATCTTTCACCCTATTCCGTTAAAAGAAAAACAATCCCTGACTCATTCTCGTTTACTTACTATTATCTTAATTTACAGCGTGACAAAAAAGGAAAAAATTGTCCAAATAAGTACATGCTTTCAGATAATCTGTTAAATCAATATCATCTTCCACAAATCTTTGGAATATTTTTCTAAGTCAAACCACTAAAAATATTTGTACTTATCTACTAAGTTGCTACACCTAATAACTATTGTGTTTCAAAAATTGTTTTTATCATTTAGTAAAATTCATGAAGAATGCCTATACAGATTATCCGTGATTAAATTCAAGCACTTCATTCAAGTATTTCATCAATTTATTCACAACGGGTTTGATTTTACACTATTCTAAACATCCTGAAGCCCTTTGAACCAAAAAAAAAACTTTCCAATCAAGACACAGTAAAAAAGAAATAGAATATTAACACACATACATCTTGAACAATTTGCTAGAGTAAACATGTGAAAAATAATTTAACCTCACTATATAATTCTTGGTGCTTCTGAATTTCATGAAGGAATTGACAAATACTGAAACACGTTCTAATTCATGAAGAAATTCGCAATGTAAAACAATATTTACTGACAGGATTCATGAAATAAAATAAAAAGAAAATCATCCCTTCTGTTCTTAGGGAGGTCAAATTTCAAATATTTTTTTCCTGTCAATTATTATCAAAAAACAGTTTCTAAAATATAAAATCCGTCATGTAAGACAAAACTAATAATTTATTCGTACATGCCCAGTATGTTGAGAAAGAACTTTTATAATCAATGTGGTTAAACAACATTAAAAAACTAAATCAACTACATTACTAAGAAGCTTATCAATTTTCAATGCTTTGGCGTAAAAAATTCTAGGTCATTTCTATACATTCCTAATTTCGACATTACTCTCAAAATTTTAGACAGGAACTGATATCAATATCAGTCTACCGTAAAATTCCTATAAAAGTCTAATTTTTACCCAGACAAATCAGTTCAAATTTTGGTTTCAACAGTTCCTCACAATAGTAACTCCAAAATGTTTTCAGGGGTGTGTATTAACGTTTAATTAAGTACCTATTTTGGAATAAGTGAAAATTGTGTTTTTATTTTAAAATGTGATTCATGAAATACTTAAAAACATGTGATCGTTATTTTTCCACATTATTATTTACATCTCTATAATAAGTTAATTAATTAAGTGCTATTTTATTTTGTTATTGTATTGTAAACATTTTCTTTGAATTAATGAAGAAGGTTTTATAATAAGCATCTTAAAAATTCATCTTAATACTTATATTTCCTAGCAATATACATGAATATTTTTCTTAGCACAACGTGTTTAGGATTCATAATTAAATTTGCGCTAAATATATTAAGGTAAACAAATTTGGCATCAAGAAATTTTGATTCTTGTCACTAGCAAATTCGAAATCTTGACTGTGAATATATTTTTCTAAACTTGCTCGTACATTTCAGATTGTGGTCCTTTCTGCCATTGCAACAATAGCTTGCGCTGGTCATGGAGCGACTAGCTATTTCAACTATGTAGCTGGTTCTCCAACTATTGGTCATGGTCACGGTGGAGGTGGTGGTGGTCATGGGGGTGGTCATGGGGGTGGACATGGAGGTGGTCATGGTGGAGGACATGGAGGAGATGATCACGGTCATTTAACTTTTGTTGCCACTCCAGTTGTTGTAAGTCATGGTCATGGTGGTGGATCCGGAGGTGGTCATGGGGACGGACATGGTGGCGGTCACGGAGGAGGACATGGGGGAGATGATCATGGTCATTTAACCTTTGTCGCTACTCCAGTCGCCGTAGGTCATGGAGGTGGTCATGGCGGAGATGGTGGACAAGGTGGAGACGATCATCATGGACACCCTCACTACGAGTATAGCTATGGAGTAAAAGATCCCCATACTGGTGACCACAAATCCCAACATGAGGAACGCGATGGGGATAAAGTGAAGGGATACTACACTGTATCTGAACCTGATGGTACCCATCGTACTGTGCATTACACCGCTGATAAACACAACGGATTCCAAGCTGTTGTGGAGAAATCTGGACACGCTGTACATCCCGATCATGGTCATCATACAGCATTCGTTGCCAAACCAGTTCATGGCGGTCATGGTCACGGTCACCATTAAGCTTGATTTGTAAATAATCTATTATTTATTTCTGACTTGTATTAATCTTAAAATAAAGGTTGTATTTGTACATTTAATCTTTCTATCTAATTTAAAATAAATATCTATATTGTGTAGAGAAGTAATAATTATACTTTTAAATTTAAAAGATGAATAGGCGTCAGGTGTCTATTTTATTTGACACTGCAAAAGTGCTTCTACAGGGTCGTCTCTTCAGAAGGTAATAGAATATAAACTGCTGTTTTTAAATTTATTATGTTATAGTAGATTGTATCCATTGTTATATAAAAATTTAATTGAATAGGAATGTATAAGCACATTTAGTAGTAGAGCAACTGAGAAATCCAATACATTTAACACGTTGGCTATCAAGGAAATATTTGAATTTCAACCTCAGAGACCAAGCATAGATTTTTACATGAATTTAACTAAAATTGAAGTTTTTATTAATATGTATATGTATAAAATATTATAATAGGGTTCCTTTGGGAAATTTTGATCCGGCTCACATATGTGACACTGGTCTATAATGGAAACAATTGCTAAATGGACCAGTGGCTCATATATGAGACCTAAAAGAGTGCAACAATTTTGACTGAAGTATTTGTTTTCAGCACTTTTAGAGCTAAACAAAGTAAAAAAAAAACTAAACAATATATTTCCAACGCATTACATAAATAAGGAATGGCCACTTAGAATTTCTCTGTAAAAAAAAAGAAAAATGAAAAGATAATATTTCAGAAGGAAAGTAGAGTTAGCCTTCATGGTATTCCTTGAAGCAGGGGTCTACACATAGTCCAACAGTGTGTCCATTTTTGTCATTACAATCTTCACAGACAAAAAAAGTTTGACTTCTCTTTTTTTTTGACTTATCTTTTTTTTTGAAGAGCAAATCTTCTTCTCAGTTTTCTTAGGGTAATGGTTCTTTTCTTTTGGCATTTTATTTGTGGGTGAAGTAATGGCACGTACTTATCTCTACTTTCAAAAGATCTAAGACTACCATAGTCTTATAAAAAAACAAAATACAAAACGACACTTGTTGATGACAATATATCTCCAGTAACGCAAGTTACACACAGACCATGTGTCCCATATATGAGACGGGCATTTCTATAGACCGTGTTAAAATCGTACTCCGCCGTTTCAGACCGTTGCACTTCAAATGGATATTTACTTACACAGGATTGCTGGCTCATATATGAGACGGCGGTCTACCTGAAAAATTGTTGTGGCTCATATATGAGAAGCTTGGTAGCGAACGTGTTAATTATTTCATAGCAGAAATTGATAGTTAGCATCACATTGTTATCAACAATTGTGAAAATAACAATACCAGGAAAAATTTTCCTTTAAAGGTAGAGTCTCTTATTAAAGAGAATTAAGTTTTTTGAATTATAAATATATTATCTAATTTTTAGACTGGCGCATCCCAGATTGAGAGACTCGTACATAAATATTCCTCTAACTTTTCAGTTCACAGACCTTTTAATTGGTTGAGCCTAACAATAAAAAAAAATATTCCCAAATTGTACAAGTTATTACATTATACAGAGTGTCCCTAAAAAGGATGGACAACGCTTGACCACAGGTTCCTTGGATGAAAACAAGACTATTTAGCCTAACTTACCTATATTCAAAAGTGCACGCCAACTGAGATATAGCCTTCTAAATATAGAACAGATAACCTAGCTTTTTTCAAATAATTTGAAAACTGTTTTCTTAGAAACCTTCAAATTTGGTACACATATTTTTTATATAAGGGCAATGTAAATATAGAATGTACGCCAATGACGACAGAATTTATATTTTAAAAAATAAGCACTATTTTAGAAGATTTTTTGCCTCTTACAAAATTTTGATATCGTTTATGGATTTCGAGTAAAATTGGCATTATTTACACATTAAATAATATAAAATCAGTTTAAGATAAATAGAACATTCTAGTACAAGGTGCCATATAACAGAGAAACAAATTCATAACAATAATTAAAAGGTTCTGTGTCAAGTTAGCTGTGATTTAATTTTAACTTACTTTGTTTTTATTGCAATTTATACTTTTGCTGAACAAACTGATATGTTAGTAGTTTTGGGTTATTGTGAAGGAAATTGTTGTGCTACTGTTCGAACATATGCTGAAAGATTTCCTAATCAAAGAACTCCAAATCACAAAACATTTGCTAATGCGGAGAGACGCCTTCGGGAAACTGGACGTTTTTTACCTGTAACATTAAATCGTGGATAATGTACGGCCGGAATTATTCAGCTGGAGGAACAAATTTTGGAAAAGGTCGAAGAAATTCCTCAAATAAATAAAAGGCGTTTAGTGGCAGAGGTTGGATTTCAAATAGTTTCTTAAATAGAGTATTAAACGACCAGTTATTACAGGTTACAGGTATTATAGGGTACAGGTAGGTATTACAGGTTATTAAAGGTCTGACAGGTGGATAGGTAGAGGAAATAATGCCCCTTTAAAATGGCCACCTTGATCCCCGGATCTAAACCCATGTAATTATTTCATTTGGGGAGCGTTGAGGACCACAGTTTAAAATAACTTTTCAGTAAATACAGAAAACGAATATGGGAAAGAATACAACATGAAATTAATGTTATGAGAGGTAATGCACAATTATTGGATAATTTCTAATTTTCGAAGAACTAATGTTTGCGTTTAAGAACAAGAAAGTAACTTTGAGCATTTACTGTAATATTATTTTAATGTGATTACAAATATCAGTTTATTTAAAATGTTAATGTTGACTTTCTTACATTATTAGTTGATATTGTTTATTTAAAATATTAGTGTTGATTTTTATTTTATTGATTGATAATACTAATACCAAAAATGTGTAGTTATTTTTTTTAATGTGACGTTTTTTCATTATTATTCCCTGCTTTGAGGCTGCAGTTATAAATTATTTTTTATAAATCGGAATTTTTGCCTATATTTAATGTATAAAAAATGCGAATTTTACTCGAAATCCATAAACGATATCGAAATTTTGTAAGAGCAAAAAAATCTTCTAAAATAGTGCTTATTTTTAAAAATATAAATTCTGTCGTCATTGGCGTACAAAAAAGTTACGGGATAGCCAGTGGCGCACAGGCACTAGAAATAGAACATCCTGTATATGTATTCTCTCCAAATTCTATATTTACCTTGTCCTTATATAAAAAATAAGTGTACCAAATTTAAAGTTTCTAAGAAAAGTAGTTTTCAAATTATTTGAAAAAAATAGGTTATCTATTCTATATTTAGAAGGCTATATCTCAGTAGGCGTGTACTTTTGATATAGGTAAGTTAGGCTAAATAGTCTTATTTTCATCCAAGGAACCTGTGGTCAAGCGTTGTCCATCCTTTTCAGGGACACCCTGTTTACTTTATACAATTTTCATTATTTTAATAAAACATTTAGTAAAAGTTCGAATCTGTACAGGGTGATTCAGTCATAATGTCATTAATTTTAAGGGAAGATAGGGAAAAACGAGTGGAATATGAATACGTGATTAAAAAAATTAATATGCATGTTTACGCTGAAAAAAATATTTTCAAATCGTTATTAAAACCCCTTTTCGGACCGTTATTGACCGTTGACCTACATCGAGAGTGAATCTTGACCTAACCTTCCTGTCACTAACCTAACTTTAATGTTCTTAACGTTTTCATTGTTTTATAATTAAATATGAGTTTTTAGTATTACACATGTTCAAGTAAATTATTCAGTTTGTACGTATACCGTATGTGTGACTTATTACTTTTCAGAGTTGTATGGTACCTACTTATTTAAAATGACAGATACGGCTAAAAAACACTCACTCCTTCGTCCTTAATAAAGTTGAGATCCGTTGCAATTTGATTTTGAAAGAAACTGCAAAACTGGGCGAGACGGCGACTAGGAAATCAGCTGTTTCGCTACAACGTCCGATCGCTGTGTACTTACTCCGCTGGCATGCGTAGTGCGTTCTCTATAACGAAGTAGAACGCCCGGTTATCAGGGGTAATTTCCTTATTCTTTAAAAGATCGAGCAAAAAAAAAATGTTTTTCGGTTTTCTGTCGTTGATCTTCCGAATACGTGGTTACAATTAATGACACTATGACTGAATCACTGTGCTGTATAGACTTAGAAAAGCCTACATATAGAAGTTAGTACATAATTTAGTAGTAGCGCCCAAATTACACCCATGACTAAAATGGGTATTATTTTTGTCCATTGGAGTCTATCGCTAATAATATCCAATTTTTTTTGTAATGAAAAAGTTTACAGAGAAATAAATTTCAGACACTTTCATTAAAGGAAACTATACATATATAGCAACAACTAACCTCACTTTATTTAATTCTCTAAAATGTACACAGTATCTACCAAATTATGTTGTCCAAACTTTTTTTAATGAAAGCTGTTACATAATATTTCCGCAAATTCACTGGAAAAAAGTAACAAATCTATTTAATTGAAACTAATTAGTAAACATTAATGTTGAAGGTCACATACAAATTAAATTAATTGAATATTATTTTTCTACATAAAGAGGTCTTTAGGATATCAAGACATTAGAAAACTATGAACTGATATAACGGAAAACGTATTTAAAAAGATATAATATAAATTTTAAAAAATATTTGTAGCAGTGCTTTACATACATATTCAGATTTATAAAAATAAACGAGCTATATGTTTGAAGCGTTTTGTATTTTCCGACTATTGGACCATCAGAAACAGAAGTACATCTCATACGCAAAGTAACAGAAATTACACTAGCTTATTTCTACTGGTGTTCATTTTCGTGTATTTTTCATTTCAAAAAATATTCCCACCAACTTTATTTGGCTTAGAAGCTTCGTTGTGTGGTCATTGATTTTATTCCTGAAAAGTAAACGACATAGAACTCTTTTCTTTCACTTTGTGTAGACATGAAACTAATTTTTTAATTTTGCTATACTGATTTTTTTAGTGTGAAATTTTGTATCAGGGACCAATATATTTAAAAACCTATTTTTTTAAAAGTTGCAGTTTCGATTCATGAAAAGCAACAAATAATATATTTCTTTCTGTCGAAGATATCGAATTAAGATTTGAATTGCCGTTGTATTAAAAAAACTAAATTAATTACGACTCTGTTTAGGAGCTTGACAATTTTTAACGCTTTGAGGTAAAAAATTCTAGGTCATTTGGATACATTCCCGATTTCGACATGTTCTCTTAAAACTTTAGACGGGAATTTATAACAATATCAGTCTAGCATAAAATTTCTATAAAAGACAAATTTCCACGTATACAAATTAGTTCTTAGTTTAGTTTCAAGAGCTCAATGATTTAGAAATTACAAGATGTTTTCACGGGTGTGTATAAATATCTATGAATTAATTTGAAATAAGTGAAAAAGGTGTGCTTTTTAAAATGTGGCGTTGGAAATGATTTTCTTGGAGAAAAATCATGAGTACCTACTATAGAACATAAAACTTTCTTTTAAATTTTTATTTAGGTTCGCATATCGAGTTTCATTTTCATATTGCCATACAAATGAATTTTAAATAGTTCATATAATATTTTGAAATCGTATATAAGAATCAGCATTTCGTATACACAAAATTTTTATTTTTATAAACGGTTACGTAGTCATTTACTGTGCATAGTGGAATTATTTGTATAGACAAAAAAATCTAATTTAATCAAAATAGAAACATTTGTACTTATATTTTTTAATTTGTTTCGTTGTAGAATGGTTCCACAAACACACATACAAAATTTAACTCATACATGTAAAAACTACCCATTTGATGATTCTTTGAGCCATTTTACCTAAAAAAAAGAAAAAATGTGAGTACCTATATTTAAACGGTTTAAATTTAGAGATACGGGGTGTTTAAGCTTTTGAAAATTAAAACATTTAGGCAAATATCTCTGAAGACATTTGATACCGACTAATGAAACTTGGAAGGGTTTTTGAGTTAAGTAAAGACAAATATTCGCTGAATTTGTATATAATCACGTCAGTGGCGGAGATACTAGTAGATCTAGCCGTATGTTAGAAATTTGGTAAGTGCGATTGATTCTTTATTGTTTTTCTTAGAAAAAAAACTATTTTCAATTTTATTCGTAAAACTAGTCATTTTTGAGTTATTATATTTGATATATATAGCAATTTTTTATTACAAACCCTATTTCAAATACAAGGTCATAAAAGTCGAAAAAAATCAAAGCGTAGAAATTGTATTTTTTTTAACTTAGGTACCTCTAAAAAAATAATTACCTCTACGCCAATGATTTTTTTAAATTTTGATGATTACATTGTATTTAAAATTACATTTTTAATAAAAATACACTGTCGATTTACTCAACAGCAAGGTTTTTAGATTAAAAAAATATTTTTTTTTTTTCAAAAATGGCCGGTTTCCGAAATAAAATGTAAAGAACTTTTTTCTATGAAATTTAATTGATAAAATTTTCAAATTATTTAGCTTATGTGTACTGTCATCCAGTATCTCCATCACTGAATGACGTAATTGTGTACATTGCTAACCCAGATTTCATCCATCTACAACAAACATTTTCATAAATTTAATATTTGAATGAATGTCATATTTTTCATAAACTTTAACAATCTATCTCGTTTAGAACAAAGTTTGATACGAATTTCGTTCCTAAAATATTTTTTATATACTTCATTACATCCTGTATATTTATTTTACTAATTAACAATTATAAACTGGGTATTCTTCCTGCACTATTTATTAGACTGAAATAAGATATTCACATTTTCTTTATAGTTAAGATTTATTTCAATGTTTATTTGCTGATGTAACATAAACTGCATAAATAATATCGGCTTTATGCTTATCAATATGTGTTGATGATTTATATGATTCTATCCAATTTTAAGATAAATAAGGAGCTTTTCAGCACACAAAAATAAATATTGTCTAAAAATATGTTGCAATATTTCGGCTTCATGGGAACTTATAAATAAAACTTTATAAGTAAAATAGCAACTATTTTTCGTTTTCGTTGCATGCAGAAATAGTCGTTTTATTTATAAAGAACCAAATTCTCAAGAAACTGAAATCTTTGATGAAATTATTTAATTTTACAACTATATACGGGGTGATTCACATAACATTCTGCACCCCTTATATTGTTTGCTTTTCTATTTCGGAATACACCAATGTTCTAGACAATTTTCTTGCGATTTCAAAGAAATGTATTAAAAAAATAATAGACTGTTGCATTTCTGTATAAACCAAACTTTTGTTTTCTTTAGTGGAACACCGTTTATATTTAGTGTTTTTCCGATTTCTCTCTTTTTTCTGAATATTTCAGAGACTACTTCCATATGATTTTTGAAAATGTGGGTCCTGGGGTTTTTGGGGGTGCTCTTTTTAAATAAATAATGCCATTATTATAGCAGTTCCGGTTATACCGGAAGTCGCCATCTACTTGCTTATTTTAAATGGAATATCCTAGATATTATTGCATTATGGACGAGAAACCGTTTTCGACATAATTCGTTTCGTCGAGATAATCGACATTTTATAAATTTCGTATAGGTATCTTTCTTTGTTCTGGAAGCCTTCATTTGCTTTTCGGAAAACACAAAGAACATAATATGTACTACCTTCCAGAAAATTATGCTACTCCTATGTTAAACTTAAATAGAACACCATATATTTTTTTGCACCATATTATAGAAAATAAAATTCTCTATTCGCCCTTAGAGACATTGTAGGGGATACAGTTTCGATTTTCTCAGACATTTGCGGTTTTCTTCCATTCTCAACAATATTACATTAAAAATATAATCAAATGGGCGTTGAAAGACAAATATCTGTTCTATCATTCAATATTCTACAAGTATCAAGTATTTTAAATTTATTTTATATCCATGGATCATTCACCTAGAATCAGAATTATTAGCAGAATTTCTACGATTTGGTATTTTGAAACTGAAACAGAATATTTAATAAAATGATTTCGGTTGGTTTTCTTAGAATGTTTCTCTAATTTTTAATGTTGTGACAATTGTTAAATAATACCACTAATAAATAATTTCAAATAAGTAATAAATGATTATCAGATAATTTTATGATTTTTGAAATGAAGTTGAAAGGAGAAAGAATATTATAATTTATTGCTTTGGTTATTTCACATTTCATTGTCCATTGGAAAGGAAATTATTATTATTTGTAAAGATAGTCCCTCGTTATTTAAAAAATGTTAATGTTAAACAACCCATTTCATTAATTTAATTATGAAAAAAAAAGATATTTCAGTGTTCTACAAAGAACGATATTATATGTAGCTCGCCGTAGAAATGCTGCTAATAATTCTGATTCGTGGTGAGTGTGTCGCATGGATATAAAATAAATTCAAAATATCTTCATTAGAACATTTATCTTGCATTTTTCTTGTGGAGTAAGTAAATACTTTATACTTGTAGAATACTGAATGACAATACGAATCTTTGCCTTTCAATGCACATTTGATGATATTTTTAACGTAATATGAAAATGTAAGAAAATCGCAAACATCTAAGAAAATCGAAACTGTAATCCTTACAATAATGCCTATATCGGTGAAAAGAGAATTTGACTTTCTATAAGATGCAAAAAATAAAGGATGTCCCATTTGAATTTAAAAAGTGTTGTCCGATTGAATTTTTTAAAATGTAACGTAAAAAATTCTTCGTTTGAGTTAATTTTATGCATTACATCCTTTTAAATGTTTTAATTTGTAACTTTTTAGGCCTCAACGGTAAGTAGAATTTTCTAATTCTTGGATATATTTCAGATTGTGGTCTTGTCTGCCATTGCAGTTTTAGTTTGTGGAGGTTGGGGACACGATGAAGATGAAGACGATCACGGTCATTTAACATTTATCGCTACTCCAGTAGATCATGGAGGCGGGCATGGAGGTGGGCATCGTGGAGATGAAGGGGACGATGGTGGACACGGTGGACACGGAGATGACCATGGCCATTTAACCTTTGTAGCTACTCCTGTTTTAGTAGATTACGGAGGTCATGGAGACGATGATGGAGGGGGTCATGGAGGCGGCCATGGTGGTGACGGCGGAGGTGGTCATGGTGGTGTCGGCGGAGGTGGTCATGGTGGTGACGGCGGAGGTGGTCATGGTGGAGACGGCGGAGGTGGTCATGGTGGAGGTGGCCACGGTGGTGGCGGCGGTGGCGGCCATGGTGGTGGTGGTGGCGGCGGTGGTGGCCATGGTGGACATGGAGAAGACCACGGACATTTAACCTTTGTTGCCACTCCTGTTGTTATAAGTCATGGTGGTCATGGAGGTGGTCATGGAGGTGGTGATGGAGGTGGTAACGGAGGTGGTCATGGTGGTGGTCATGGAGGTGGAAATGGAGGGGGCCATGGAGGTGGTCATAGCGGTGGTCAAGGAGGTGGCGGTGGAGGCGCCCATGGTGGTGGTCATGGGGCTGCAGGAGGCGCAGGAGGGCATGGTGGAAATGGAGGAGGCCATGAAGGTGGTCATGGTGGCAGTAATGGAGGCGGCCATGGAGGTGTAGGTGGTCATGGCGGTGGTAACGGAGGCGGCCATGGAGGCGGAGGTGGTCATGGTGGTGGTAACGGAGGCGGCCATGGAGGCGGAGGTGGTCAAGGAGGAGCAGGGGGACTTGGTGGAGGTCACGGTCATTTAGCCATTGTTGCTATCCCTGTTGTTGAAAATCATGGAGGTGGTCATAATGGAGGCAACGGCGGCGGCCATGGAGGCGGAGGTGGTCATGGAGGTGGACATGGTGGTGGTCACGGTGGCGCAGGAGGAGCAGGAGGAGCAGGGGGACATGGTGGAGGTCACGGTCATTTAGCCATTGTTGCTATCCCTGTTGTTGAAAATCATGGAGATGGTCATAGTGGTGGTAATGGAGGCGGACATGGAGGTGGTAGTGGAGGTGGACATGGAGGAGGGAATGGAGGTGGCCATGGAGGTCATGGAACTGGACATGCTGGTGGTAACGGAGGTGGTCATGGAGGTGGTAATGGAGGCGGACATGGAGATGGTAGTGCCGGCGGCCATGGAGGTGGTAATGGAGGTGGCCAAGGAGGCGGACATGCTGCTGGTACCGGAGGCGGTCATGGAGGTGGTGATGGAGGTGGTGATGGAGGTGGTCATGGAGGCGGAGGTGGGGCAGGAGGAGCAGGGGGACATGGTGGGGGCGGAAATGGTCATGGTCATTCTGCTTATTTTCTACACCCGGAACCTGCAGCTCATAAAGCATTTATTGTTACTCCAATTCATCATGGCGGTCATGATCATCATTAAACTTTGTAGCTCATATAATATTTATTCATATGTAGATATAAATTTGGAAATAAAGTGATATACAGTTCCAGATTTGTTTGTTCATTACAGCTGTAAGGTAAAATGATATAAAGATATCTGTTATAGTTGAAGCATAGCATAGCAAGGCATATATTTTGAAAAAAATATGTACTTTAATTTATTAACTGGTTGTCTCCATGCATACAAATATTTACCACATTCAACGTTCATATCATTAGGACTACGAAATGTTAAAAATTCATTAAATTAAAGAAATTGAACATTTTGCATAATACTGAAGGAAACGACTGAAAAATTGTTCAAATAAAAATTAATCTAAGTTGTTGCAATGGTGGAAGTTCTTCATTAGACATACTTATAAACCATAAGATTTTTCGTCGTGTTTATTCCTAAGGCGCCAAAAGTAAGTTCAGATTGTGAAAGATCTAATTAATTTTTTAAATTAATATACTGGAAGTGAATTAAGAAAATCAATGTACTGGGAAGAGTTAAGATTACGGAAGGAGCGCAATTTGTTTGTTCTTTTATGAAGTGCATGTTATTTCGACTTCTGATAATACCGATGTACTCTTAGAGCATATACTACATGGAGGAGGCACATTTACGGCGATAGTGTAAGTATATGAGTGACAGATAAAGAGATACTTTGGATATCATCTTTCTCTCTCAAGCATTGATTGGCCAACGCAACTCGTTTCTCAATGATTAGAGACAGAGAGAGAGAAAGAGAGAGAGAAAGAGAGAGAAAGAGAGAGAGAACGAGTACCCAAACTATTGCTCTTACAGCGGCAAATTTTTTAACACACGGTTCTTCCTCCATGTAGTATAAGCTCTAATGATGCACTTGACACTGACACATATAAAGTGTCAAATAGCCACTGCAAAGAAAGGACCACGTTGAGCTTGAACAACACTGGGAAATGCTGAAAAATTATTTTCAATGTGGGTTCTACGCTGCAAAAACCAGTATGGGGAATGTACCGTTTTATTGGTAAACGTTAAGGATCATTGTTACTTCAACCATCCACAAACAATTGACTTAGTTATAGAAGCATCCATGGAACTATTCAGACAAGGAGCACGTACTCATACGGGAAAATTGAAAAATCTTGTCAATGTAATAGTAGAAATTAGTTTTTACTGCTAGGGTCGCAAATGTTCATCGATTTATTTTCATTATTATTGATTCATTTATCTAATTCAAAGTAGCCTACATTATTTATTTTAAAGTTTTTAACACATCACAAAAACGTCATGATTGATTTTTAATTCAAACCGTAGCTTTCTTTATCTCCACTCCACTAATTCGATGCATATGGAACATTAGCGCCTTTTAATTTGGCAAGATATTTGTTTTCATGGAGTTCGTGCTTTTTGTGTAGTCTCCATGGAACTATTTGTGATCTAGAAGAAGAAACAGTGCAAAACAGGATGGGCTACTGCTTTTTAAATAAAATTTTTTAATAAATGAATTTTAATTTTAATGATAAATAACTCTTGCCACTAAAGTAATAATCGTGGAATCGTTGTACTTTTAATGGCAATTTGAAAAATAAACTAACAAATGACCCACCCCTTATAGAAATGAAAGAACGAATATGATCACATCTGTCACTATATTTCTAAATTAGTACATATCAGGAATAAATAATGTTTCATTTACAAGTCAAGCTTAATGGTGACCGTGCCCATGACCACCATGGCCATCATGAACGTGAGTAGCAACGAATGCCGTGTGATGCCCATGATCGGGATGTACAGCGTGTCCAGATTTCTCCACAACAGCTTGGAATCCGTTGTGCTTATCGGCAGTGTAATGAACAGTACGATGAGTACCATCGGGTTCGGACACAGTGTAGTATCCCTTTACTTTATCCCCATCGCGTTCCTCGTGTTGGGATTTGTGGTCACCAGTGTGGGGATCTTTGACTCCGTAACTGTACTCGTAGTGGGGGTGTCCATGATGACCGTCTCCGCCATGTCCACCACCTCCACCGTGTCCACCATCTCCACCATGTCCGCCGCCATGACCACCACCATGACCGTGACTTACGACAACTGGAGTAGCAACAAAGGTCAAGTGACCGTGATCTCCTCCATGTCCTCCTCCATGACCACCTCCAAATCCACCCCCATGACCACCTCCATGGCCACCGCCACCATGTCCACCACCACCATGACCATGGCCAATGGTTGGGGATCCAGCTACATAGTTGAAGTAGCTAGTTGCTCCATGGCCGGCACAGGCTAGTGCCGCAATGGCAGAAAGGACTAAAATCTGAAATATAAGATCTAGTTGTTATTTATGTTTATAATGTATTTAATAACCAATAGTGACACTCAAAAAACATGGATTCACATAATTCAAGAGAACTAGAGTATATAATACAGTCGGAGAAGTAGCACTAGCTGCCAATTAGTACTTAATTATATTAAAATGGAAGTAATAATTTCATATATAAAATATTTTAAATTTAGTAAAAAAAAAACCTCATTTTGACAATGGAAAACCTTTCAAAAGATATACATTTAGCGTGGATAGTATTATATAATAATATATTTGCCTAGTTCTGAGATTTCAAAAAAAGCTTTATAGAAACAAATCGTGACTGGCTGGAGCAAGAGTTTATGTTTTTTTTACTAATTTATTTTTTTTTAATTTGGCACAACAATAAAAATGGAAAAAGCCACAATTAAAAAAATACTCTTACCCAATATTCCTGTTTCTATTGTATAAAAAACATTTTGATTTAAATTTGGTAAATATATACCTACGAGTATTATGAACTACTTAGATCAAATGTTACAAATGCGTATGTCGACGGCTTGGATGAAGTTATTAGTCAGTAATATTTCAAAGAAAGGTACTAATACTAATAAGAAAATAGAAAATACTAATACTAATAAGAAAATAGAAAATACTAATACTAATAAGAAAATAGAATAAGAAATTTACTTAATTCAGGCAGTTGAAATAAATATTGCAATATAAAAAAATACGTAGCGGCAAATTAATTAAATTACATACATTAAAGGAGAAGTGTAGGAAAAAATGTTTGACATATTTATTAAAAATTAATCTGGAGTTTAAAATAGAAAGCGTCATTGTTAATCTGAATATTAACTGAAAAACAGTAAAAAGAAACAAATATAAATGTACATTTTTAGTACTACCTATTTTTATTCAATTTGCTATACCACTTTACTAAAATGGAATACCTATAATGAATATATTCAACAGATTCTAAATTTACGTGTATTGTTCAAATGTTCAAATAACAGCATTGCTATTCTCATTACTTTTTTTGAATTTCTGTTCATGTAGATTGAATTATACATTAATAGCGTTACTAAATATTTATAGAAATTGCAAATATTGATTATTGTACCCAACTTAGGTAAGTATTTTAGGAAATAATTTTAAAATATGAATAGCATTGTGCAAACTTAGAAAATATTTTTGAAAAAAATTATGTACTATCGTTTTTATACTTTCGCACAAGAAAATTGTTTTCACACCATAAATTTTCACAAATTCAAGCTTAAGTTACAATTATTAATACACACCCGTGAGAACATTGCTAATTGTTAAATTGTTGATCTGTTGGAATTAAACTTTGAACTGATTCGTTTGATTAAAAATTTGTCTTTTATAGGAATTTTATGGTAGACTGATACTGATACCAATTCCCGTCTAAAATTTTAAAAGAACATGTTGAAATCGGGAATGTATCCAAATGACCTAGAATTTTTTACGCCAGAGCATTTCAAATTGGCAAGCTTCTTAGTAATGTCGTAGTTGATTTAATTTTTTATGTCATGAGCTTTATTCTGTAGCCGCTGAAGTAAAAAATACGTGTAAAATGTGCTTATTCAAATCCTGTTTCGACATCTTATTTAGAATTAGACGAAATAGGGGGTTTTTGTAATGAACGAAAGGAGTTTTGGTCACTACTGATCTTTGACGAATATAAAAAATAGATAACTGTACAAAAAGTGTATAATTGTACATTAATATGGGTTAATTAAATTTTGTTTCACAAATCCATGAAAATGCCTTTTATCGTTCCAGCAGTTTTTACAGTTTTATTTCCAGAGGAATTAATGATATAATTGAAACGCTGCATGGGAAATATGCAGTAGTGCATGGTAGTTAATAGATGTTCAAGCAAAATACCACCAGCTAACTAAAATTATATAGAGTATTTTTGAAATGTTGTTTTAAAATGAAATATGGGATAGAAAGTACAATTGTAAGCAATAAAGTTTATAAGTCAAAAAGTAAATAAGCTACAGAACAATAAATTTGCACAACCAAAAACGTATTTTTACATATCAAAATTCTAAATGAGAATTTCCTATCTGAAAAAATTTTCCGTGGCTTTTTCACTGAACTAGTTTTCTAATCTCAATAATCTTTACTTCAAAAAATAAAAAATGCCTTGGTTGCTTTCTAATTTTGGTAGCACATGAAACCTTATTAAAATAATGAAAAATTTTAAAATAACATAGGTTCTAAAATCTATCCATTCCCAGATGTAATAAGTAAGTAATTTCAGAAGGCTTTAAATATGTCATTAAAGGATTATATCCCAAATTTTCTATATAATAATTATAGTAATAATTATCATCTCCAATTTGAAGTACAATGGCATAACATTTTATAGACATTATTTTTGGAAATAAAAGGTTAATATGTCAGCTTACTGATATGGAAAATCAGGAGCTGTTAAAACCTATACAATTCTAAAATATGAGATACTACAGATCAGACGGCTGGTGAAAGGAAAGAAAAAGAAAATAGAAAAATAGCGAAAAATAAAAATAAAATAGAAAATTTCGTACAAAAGGATGAAAAGTAAGAAAAAGTTATAATAATAACAATAATAATTTAACAATATGGGGTCATTGTGCAGATAACAGTTGATTGCAATTTTGCTTTAAATAAATTGCAGGACAGAGAAAGATCAATAACGTTTTGCTTATTAATACATGAAACTATATTATAACTAAAAGAAAGTTTAAGAATTTGCTTTCGATGATAAGGTATGTTTAATATATGTTTTCTGGGAATGTTTAAATTATGAACGTCAGTCCTGAATTTAATTTTCCTGTATAAATATGGAGGGGCTTTAATTTTCAAAATCTTGTACCAGAAACAAGTTAGATGCAAGTATCTTCTATTGTACATATTGAGCCAATGTAATTCCTTTAGTTTGTGTGAAATTCTTTGTGCGCGTCTGATTCCAAATATAAATCTAAGACACGAGTTTTGCTATTTTTGTAAACGTTTGGAATCGATATTATCCAAGCACGGACCATACGCATTATCACAGGAATTATAAATGGATAGAATCAGGGAATCACATAACATTTTTTTTATATCTCTGTTCAGATAGTGTCTGTGCGAATATATCATTTTCAACACAGAATACGCTTTCGCAAGAATACTAGTTACATGCTCTTTAAATCTAAGATTATAATCAATAACAAGAAATAAATTTTTTGCCAAATCTTTAAACTCTATATTATCATCATCAAGCAAGGCAGCAGATTTTTTGTGGGTTTATTTTTAACAAATGATTTTTAGACGCAGATGCTAAGTTACATAAATCATTATTAATCTTAAAGTTAGCATGGACTACTTCAGAGGGATTAAAAGAATAGTAAAGTTGTGTATCATCCGCATACATATGATATTTACAATAAACCAGCGATTTAATAACATTTAAAGTGTAGACAGAATACAGCAACGGCCCTAATATACTTCCTTGTTACACACCAGATAGGATGACAAGAGGTTGTGAAAACTTATTATCGAGTGATACTCGCTGCTTTCTTTCACAAAATATTGAGGACATTAGCGATTATGCGGGATTTGTAAAACCTAATAATGAAAAATTGAATTGAGTATATCATGATTAAGAGTGTCAAACGCCTTACTATAATCCAACAAGACCAGTACCATAGCTTTACTATTATCTCTTGACGTATAAATATCATCTGTCAAATCAGAAAGAGCAGTTGAACAGTATATCCACGCCTAAAACCAGATTGTTCTTCCGGAAGGATATTATTGGCATTTAGAAATGCAGTAATTTGCATATAAAATTTGAAAATACTTCTCATCAAATTCTCGGAAATCTTATCGAAGTGCATAAAGGCTTATTTCGAATTTTCTCGAAAAGGAACACATTTTTGGACAAGGGTAAATTTATGAATAATTTAAAATAATTTTTGAAAAAAAAGGTATTATTTTTACCAAAAACGCTATTGGCAATTTTTAGATGAAACTCCCTGTATAGCAGTCACTTTGATTGAATAAAAAACTGGTCCTACATTTATTGTAGTCGACAAATTAAAGACTTGTATTGATTTCAGATTTATTTTTAAGAAAGTGTAATTCGTGAAGGAGAACATATGAGGATATATGATGTACAGCTATGAGAATGAAATCGAATTTGTTGGGAGTGTGCAAGGATTTGTTTACAAGGTACTAAGGCTTGTAAATATTTATGAAGGCTTTGAACATGAATTTAGAGGGATGTATATGATTTACTGGATATTGACTGAGGATGTGTGTGCCAATTTGTTCTTATGGCTATTTGAAGGAGAGTTTCTGAACAATGGAATTTTGGGCCTGATTAATATTGTTATATTGTGGATTCAGTGGTTAATATTTAATTTCTAGATATTAGTCAGAAGCGTTTCAAACTGAGGATGTCTCAGATAAATATTTTTCCAAGACTTCCATATTTAGTTAAGATTTTGAGACAAAATTTTAAAATAATAGACAGTATTACAACAAAATCACCCTCTTGTACTATTTCGATGGTTGCGTCGTTTTGGTATACAATTAATTTAAAAAAATATGCTTTCAGAACAATTGATAAACACTTTATTTGGCAAGAAATGTAAAAACTTTTAAAAGTGGTTGTTACTAACAATACTATTTGAAAAGAAAAAAGTATTTTACAATCGATAAGTAACAAGTTTTTAGGGAAATAGTCAAACAAAAAAAATTGAAGAATGAAAAGCAATTTCGTTACCATCTTCATAGGACATTGTCTTGTTTTATTGCTTCTTTCTTCAATTTTGGGAAGTTCATGTTTTTCTAGCTTTTAGGCTTATTATTTGTTTTCCTTGACTATTAGATATATTTTCTTACAATATTTCGTAATGGTCACGTTTTTTATGATTTACTGTCATTCAATTAGAATAAATTGTGTCATGTGGCATTTGTAAATGATGATAAGTAACTTTCAGAGACTCATCTTTAAGGCCCTTAAGTGATGATATTTTGCCTATATTGATACACTTTTGATTGATATTGATATACATTGATAAACTTTTTCTATTATTTTTAATTCCAGAATCCGCTGTTAAATTATTGAACGCTGACTTTGGAAAATCCTATATACAAAGCTTTATTAAATCTGCAACTTCTTAAATCAACAACACAGAAAATAAATATGTAATAGGCAAATGATGACTGGAAAGCTATGGTTACATATTTGGATATATATTTAGTACAGTAGTAACTATTATTAAACATACACTAAGTGCAAAAAAAACTGTTACCGTTATTCCATTTGTTTTTTTAATAATTTTATAGTTTACTAATGACTACTATTAAATGTTAAACTTTTTGTTGGAACGTTAACAATGTTGTTGTTGACAATGTTCTGTATACTTTTGATTCCGTTTTGCTTTAGTATAGTGCGATTATATCTACATCTTTTATTTCAAAAAATATTTATATCAATATGCAAAGACATGAAAATTATGTTCTAAAATTATAATCAAAGGACAACGGAAAAATGATTTACTTCTACAAGTTATACATAAATAAACTGTCAAGTGTATTATTTTCTATTTTGTCACTTAGAAATTAGATGTTTACATGTTTTACTATAAAAGTTTATCGGTGTGAGAAGTATTTGCTATCAGTAAAAAGACTCTACACTCTTACCATTTTTCGAATAAACTGTACTGGGTGACTAGTTTCAAAAGTATTGTTAAGATGGAGAGATTTAAATAAAATTACAATTAAGAGATGTCTACCATAAGTCCACTTATCTATTTTTTCTAGAAACATTCATTCCCAATTAATTCCTGGGACATCAGTACCCTCATTGTTTTGTTAAGATTATCTCATTTAAAAAGCTATTTTATCACCAATCTCGCAGAAATTAGGGTCTCATTCAAAATCTCACAGTTCATATGTACAGGGTGCCTCAAACTCGATGGTATGGGCCTACTGTGGGAAAATTTAATTAAAATTTGGGACATGTGGTATTAAATGGGTAAACTCCATTTTTAATCGAATGTATTATTTTTGTGATTTGACAGAAACGACAAACATACCCACATTTTTTTCCTGTAAACTTTTATTAGAAATTTGTCTGTATTACTTCCCGTTTAAAAGTCATAAGCAATATCGTCCTAAAGAGTCTCAAAAGAAATACCACCTAAAAATCACATTAGTGGTGGAAGGATCAAGTAGTCGTTGGAAAATAATTGAATATTCGTTGTTTAAGGTGAATAAGTGTCATTAAGAATAAATAAATGGATTAAACTAGATAATTCTTTAATACAGTTAAAACAAAAGGCGATGATAGCAGTAACTAAACTTAAAACATGAGGCAAACGCTTTCATATTCATTCATATTACAATTTATTCTCTACATATCCTCGTCTCATTTCAATACCACATATCCAATCTTCGTCTGACTTCTTTGTAAGCTGCGTTTATTAACATTTCGCCGTTTAACCGTTTTGTAAACCTTATTTTTTTAAAACTACCCTTAAAAAATCGAGGGGTGTTAGATCTGGTGACGTACCGGACCACTAAATAGGTCCATTAAGCTCAATCCATTTTTCCCGGAAAGTGTTACCTAAATATTGCTGCTGAAACCATAGCTTTCTTCTTAGCTGCGAAGGTACTTTCTCCAGAAGTGCAGGAAGTTCTTCCTGTAGGTAACTCACGCTGTTCAATATAAATGTTTATAAAAATAAGATCCAATTAAATGACAACGATGATGCCGCACCATACATTTACTCTAAAATAGCCTTGGTTCTGGACTGGATTTACAATGTGGGGATTTTCAATGGACCAGTAGTGTTCGTTGCGCCTGTTTGGCAAACCTTTACTGACAAACCGACTTTCGTCCGTCCAAAGAACGTGCCAAAAATGATTCTAATCAACAGTTTATACATTTACGACAATTTGAGCTATAAAATTAACCTGTTTTCAATGCGACGTTCAGGCACATACTCCAAATTGTGAATTTTGTAGTCATGGTACTTATTTGTCTTTAAAATTCGATGAACAGCTGATTTATCCAAATTCAATTCCCGGCTAGCCTGCCGTATAGAATTTCGGGAATTTTGTTGGAAATACTGTAACAGTCTATCTGTATTAACATTTTTCCGAACAGAAAATGCTTCTTCATTTTGTCGCAAGGTCGCCTCCAATCTTGTAAAGGTTCTATGATCAGGAATGAGGCGCTCTGGATACCTTTCTCGATATAATTCTACAGCTTTTCTTGAATTTTTTTGTCTAGCCGTAAATTAGCAACTCATATCAACTTTTCTGAATGAGAAAACATTTGTAAGCACAAAAGTTATATGTTTGGCTTCAATTATTTTCCATAACAACTTGATCCTTACACCGCTAATATGATTTTTAGGTGGTATTTTTTTGAGACTCTTTAGGACGATATTGCTTATAACTTTTAAACGGTAAGTAATACAGAAAAATTTCTCTAATAAAAGCTTATTAGAAAAAAGAGAGCCTTTTAGCAGGAAAAAAATTTGGATATTAGTCGCTTCTGTCAAATTCCAAAGATAATACTTTCGATTGAAAATGCAGCTTCCTTCATCCCATTTAACACCACGTGTCCCTAATTTTATTTAAATTTTTTGCATCCTCACAGTAGGCCCATACTACCGAGTTTAAGACGCCCTGTACCTATTTTATTAATGATTTTCTAGGATAACAGAGTATTTAATTTAATTCTGGGAGACATAATAGGACACACATTTAAATAAACTGGCCTTAACGCTATACGTTAGTAAATAAAATATCAATGAATAAGTAACTACACGGTTACCCGACTATTGAATTACTCTAGCGTGATTGTTTTGTCTCTCCCATGGAAGGGCGTTTACGTAGATATTATATAACTGACTGTCTTTAGGAGCTCTTATCCATTTATCAATATACCAGACTACTAGACCAGTCTAATTAATTCTTTTACGTTATTAAATGGTATGCTACGATTTTAATCCTAGATAATTGGTAAACGGTTCCATGACAGATGTTTCATTTCTCCAAGTTGCTCTACATAAATCTAGAGATTATGTTATAATTATCATCAAGAGATGGTAATGAAATTTTGAAAATGTTCAAAGCTATATATTAGAAATGTGTATTTTTTAATTAACTCAATTAATTATTATTTTTTTTGTATTTTTTTTTAGTACTGGACCGTCGTAAAAACGTCGAAAATGATTCATTAAGCGAAATGTAAGAATTTTAGATTAATCCTTCAAATGTTTTTACATACATACAAAAAATTTACCATACTTTATATGGTTTAGATTTCTCTATTTTATTTAGAATTAAGAATATTGGTCTATTTGAAGCAAATTTTAAAACTAATTTGTATCCTTTTTCATATAGTTCTCGGTTTATTTCAAAACTCAAAAACCTTTTCTGCGGTCCCCCTGCAAATTGGCCCAATGTTCTAAATTGTATTAAATCATATAATAAGTATTATAAATACACTGTTTCCTTTTCTTGAATCTCAGTAAATTAAGATTATACTGCGTTAGTCTAGTCTGGTCTAGTACGATTCATAAAATATAAATAATTTATAGATTTTATATGCAAGATACAGAAAAATTTTACATGTATTTAATATTGTCCTGTTCATAGTTTTAATAAAATATGAATGTAAATGGTATATATTTTATTAAAACATCTAATAGTCTGATATTAATTATTTTATATAAAAAAATTAAATACTAAAATAATATTGCACTCCATATTTGGTTTTATTAACTTAAAATAGACAGTTCCTCATTGTACAAATATTTCTGTTTTATATGATAAAAATAAATAATACTTAGACTACATCCTATAAAATACAGAATATTACATAATATTATATTTCAAAAATAATGTCGAACAGTGAAAATATAATTTATAAAACATATTTTATAAAATTAGGAGTTAACGAGTCAATTTTAAATAGATCAATTTATCAATAATAAAATTATTTACTTTTACAATTTTAAATTATGTCAAAATCATATCCAACAATCTATTTATTATAAAAATCGTTGATTGTAGTAAGACAATAAAAAATGATAAATGATATAAGTAGTGGTAATTAGACAAATATCTCAGATTAAATTGTTAAATTTTACTATATACAGGGTGTTCCAAAAAATATATTGGTAAGAACATTCTAAGAAAAAAAGTTTTTATTAACGTGGGTCCGCAAACGCACCGTTTTCGAGATATAGGGTGTCAAAGAAAATATAATTTTTTCAGTTTTTGACGATATTTCAGAAACCGTTTGAGATACAGAACTCAAATTTTGTACACATATTATCTTTATAAGCTCCTTTTGATTTTAGGATTGCATTCTGTTGCCTTCAATTTTTACTACTCTGGGAAAATTAGTATTTTGAAAGCATATTTTAAACCGCCAATGTTTTCTGACACATGTTTTGCAACAACCTGTATTTAGGTGCATATGATCATTGCTTAAATAAGACATGCTTCTCATTACTTTTTTAAGAATTAAAAATATAAAATATGTCTGTAAACCGATCTCACATTTTCTAAAATCTCTAATATTCTCATTTGAGGTCATTAAAATATTTATTGCCCAAAATTAATGTGCTTGGCATATCTAACATAGCCATTATTTATTGGTGCTGATCTGTACAACCTCGAAACCTCAGGCTTATGCCTCTCCCCCCTCGAATCTTGGTAAAGGGGATAAACATACTGATAAGGCGGTCTTGGAGGTGCCTTTTGTGTATTAAACTGATGAAACTTTGACCCCCTTAAGGAGTAACTATTAATATTCTGAGCAAATTTGTTGGTGGAATAATGTTTCAAACCAGGAGTGGTGGCAGGCTTCTTATTCGACTTGTAGGTCTGTGGAGTGGCTGATTGATTCACTGTAGTCTTTGTAGTAGACCTTAAGGGATGGAAACCACTTTCCATCACTGGTTCATTTTCTTTATTGGATTTGTAATAATTCTCTAAATATTTGTTCAGCTCCTGCTGAGTCAGTTCATATGATGGTTGAGTTTCTTTGCTGGGATATTTGTGATTTGAAAATCTTTGAGGCTGATACCTAGATTCATATTTATTTTTTTCGGTATTTTTACCGCTTAGGTCTACTTCTATTGGATTGACCACACTTACATCAACTGGAATAACTTGTTCTAAAGGGTTCTTTTTTATAAAATTTATATCAACTGGTAACTGTGGTACGGACTTTGCATTCTCATATTCCCCTTTAACATTAACCTGTGGCCTCATAACGTCTTGTTCACTTCCATATACATGTTGGTGTTTGAATGTTGACCTAACTGTGGACCGTTGTGATTCTTCAGCTAGTTCTTCTTGTGGCACATAAACATAATTTGGTTTTCCACTCACCGAATCGTGCTCTTCTTCTTGCTGAGTACCATATGTTATATCACCTGCAGTGTTATCTGTTTGTCCGTATTCCGTGTTATCTGCCTGCTCATATTCTTCAGCGTATTGCTTTGGATAAACGTACTCATATTCAGGTTCTTTTGCTTCCTCTGTTTCATATTGTGTTTCACTGTTGTGTTTCAGTAATATCTCATTATGGCTAGAGGGTTTTTTACTGAAATCTGCTGCTGGATGATGAAATGGACCGCTATGCTTTACAACAGCATTGAAGCCGGACTTATCATCTGCAGAGTAGTATACCGTCCTCACGGAACCATCTGGCTCAACTACCGAATATTGACCTTTTACTTTGTCTCCTTCCTTCTTCTCCCATTGATGTTTGATGTCACCAGTGTGAAGGTCTTTCACTCCGTAGCTAAAGCTGTAGTCAGTCGGTTTCTGAAAATTAAAACGCTTTAGTTTCACGAATATTTAATGTTTTACAATTTAATTAATTAAATAAATTTCAGGAAAAATTGCCCTTATCTATAAAAAAAAAATTTGACTGTCCGTAGACAATATTTTAATTTATTATATCTGGAATAATTAACAAAAGCATTGAATATTGCGGTAACTGTCATTCTTTTGTCTACTGTTGTTTTACGTATTTTGGTAGATAGGTACAAATTTATACAGGGTGAGTCAGAAAGAATGGGTCAACAGTAAACTGGAGATACTAGACACCAAAATATTATGTTTGAGCTCAACATGCCTTATACGAATATCGCTGGTTTAAGAAATACAGGGTGTTTAAAGTTTAAATTTTATTTTGAAATTTCTCAATAATTGGGAAAGTTTTAATAGCATGACTCTGAAAATTGGTACTATTGGGTTTTTTGGTGTGAGAATTATGAATTTGAAGCTTATTTTGACGTTGCTCCTAGAGGGGACGTTAGTTTCGCCGTATTATTTAGGTAAATCAAAACATATTTTTATCTGTTAACCTGTACTTAAGAAAAGTTAAAAATCTAAAAGAACGTTCAATTCTACATAAGAAGTGTACTTTCATTTAGGTCACCTAACTTTATCGTTTTCTGAGTTATTTGCATTTAAAAGTTTCAATGTATTTTCTGGTGATTTTCTTTCAGGCGTTAATATTGCTATTTCTTTTCTAAGTAGGCTTGTGTCAAATTTTCATATCAATAAATATTAGCGTATTTTGCATGCGTATGATTTATTATTCGTGCAAAATTGTTAGCTAGTGCTCAAAAAATGCCACGACATAATAATTTTTCAAACAGTGAGATGCGTGATATGATTTGTGTTTTTGCCCAAACTAATTTTAATGGACATGCGGCAGCCCGAAGATGTACACATGTACCCAAATAGATTGCAACCTAATTATAAACTATTTAGATATCTTTACAACCGCTTAGACGAATCTGGATCTTTTCGACCAAAAACTCATGGTACTCCAAAATCGATCACAGTAGATGAAGAAGAGGAAATTTTAATTCGTGTTCCGGAAAATTCCGGTATGAGTACTCGTCGGTTAAGTGCGGCAACGGGGGTAAGCCAATCGTCCATTTGTAGAATTTTGAAAAAAGAAATGCTCCATCCATATCATTATACTCCGGTTCAGCAGTTATTGCCTCAAGATTTACCAGCTCGCCTACAATTTGCCCAGTTTGTACAAAATATGCAAATGGAAAACCCAGATTTCCTCAATAGGATTCTATTTACCGATGAGACGACATTTAATAGACGGGGAGTTTTCAATGGAAGAATTTGTGAGATTCCGAAAATCCGCATGCTGTAAAAGAAAAACATTTTCAACGTGAGTTTAAGGTGAATATTTGTTGGGGTTTAATTTATGTTTTTTTCATAGGACCTTTTGAATTATCACCCAATCTAACTGGACCTTATTATTTAAATTTTCTTCAACATAATTTAAACGAGCTTCTAGATGATGTACCACTCGCTTCAAGAGAGAGTATGTGGTTTATGCACGACGGTGCGCCACCACATTTTGCCTTGCCAGTACGCCAGTATTTAAATGAACATTTTTCTCATCGGTGGATGGGCCGTAGAAGTAAATTTTGTTGGCCACCGAGAAGTCCAGACTTAAACCCTCTGGACTTCTCAGTATGGTCAAACTTGAAGGATATGGTGTATCGGTAAGAAATTAATTCTGTTCAGAAGTTGCGGCAGAAAATACAAGTAGCCGCGAATGCATTTAAAAATAATAGGGACATTTTGTTTAATATTCAGACATTTAAGAGAGTGTATAGTAAAATGTATTGAGGTAGGTGGTGGACACTTCCAGCATTTTATTTAAGGTTTGTTATTATTACTATTATCAATAATTGAGAATAAAAAATCACCACAAAATACATACATTGATACTTTTAAATGCAAATAACTTAGAAACCGATAAAGTTAGGCGACCTAAACAAGAGTATATTTTTTATGTAGAATTGAACGTTCTTTTAGATTTTTAACTTTTCTTAAGCATAGGTCAACAGATAAAAAAATATATGTTTTGATTTACCTAAATAATACGGCGAAACTAGCGCCCTCTCGGAGCAACGTCAAAATGAGCTTCAAATTCATAATTCTCACATCAAAAAACCCAATAGTACCAATTTTCAGAGTCATGCTATTAAAACTTTCCCAATTATTGAGAAATTTCAAAATAAAATTTAAACCTTAAACACTGTATTTCTTAAACCAGCGATATTCGTATAAGGCATGATGAGCTCAAACATAATATTTTGGTGTCTAGTATCTCCAGCTTATTGTTGACCCATTCTTTCTGACTTGCCCTGTATAAAAAACAAATACATTTTTAACTATATTTTCATAAAATTTCAATAGCAAGTTTTAATTTTGTTATTTATATATAAATAAGTTTTGATAATTTTTACTTCACATTTCATGTTATTAATTATTATTATTATCGACTTAAATAGATTTATCAGATTCATTATCAGATTTTGAAAACACAGGTTAATATCGTGGATCACAAAAGTTTCATTACACATGCTCTCCAAAATGCCTGTAATCGGTGCAAGAAAATTATCGAATATCAAGAAAATGTTTCATTTTTATCATATTTTTCGGATAAATTGAAAATTAGTAGAGTATCTACAGTTTGGTCAATATTTTCGAGCTGTCAACGTCAAAGATTAAAATTTCAGTTAATATGTCACTGCACCAAATTACCTATGTATGTAAAACAGTCAAATAAATCGGAAATTTCTGGAAAACATCAAGTTAAAATGAAATTAACTTTATGGGTAATCTATTTATAGATTTTTGAAATTGTACATGAAGTGTACATTTGTAATACCTAGATTAAACAATGTCTCATTTTTATTATATTCCACGATTTTGTAATATTTATTGAACAATTTGTTGTCTACATAAATTTAAAATGTGCCAATGTGCCAACAAGTTTACTGTTTTTATATTGTATTTATTATCGGTATTTTTTGGAGCGTATCGCAGAAAACTGCTTGTTTGAGTATAAACCATATTAATAATAGGAAAACAGTACTTTCCGATTCAGAAAATGGTATTTTAAAATTTTTACATTTTAAACTGGAATAACTCCGTGAATTATTTGTCGTACATTAAAAAATGTTTGGCATTGAGACTGTCTAATACCAATACAATAAGATCAATTTTAAAATATGTATAAAATAAATAGGTACATTAAACATCTATTGGCAGATCACCATTTTTAATAGCTAGTGGCTTGAATTTTCCAATTCCATACATTACACTCTCTATACTCAATAAAAAACATATTTAATAAAATATTAATGCCAATAGATCTGTTGGCAATAAATCAGAAATGGAAGAATTTGATACTAATATAACTATAAGGACTGATAACCTAACCGTCCTAATTACATACCTACATCATCAATTTTCTAGAGTAATTCAGAATTAAATATTCAAATAATTTCGGAAATACACCCCTCATATCTAACTCTAGCTATCATATCCTATAATAATCCTATTGATTTTACTAGCTTCGCTATCTCTGATAGGATGAAGTATAGTAAATAATAATAATATAGTTTTATAATAAAATAACTTATAGGAAGAAGAAGTTGATGGTTTGCCATCAGAAAGATTAAAGTAAGTCATGGACGGTCTAAAGTCACTGATTTATAAACATTTTTCATTACTGTTTCGATTTCATTACATAGGAAGTGTATCAGGACAGTCACATAACGTTCCATCTAAAAATAGTAATGAATAAAAATTTTCTTATGATATCAAAGAAATATCTCTATCTTCTAATTATAGTGATCTATAAATATTATCTATTTGCTTCACAGTTTACACAATGTAAATACGATTATGCCAATTTTAGCAATAATTGATACCATTTTTAACTAATGTCAGTGTAATTAGTTTTTCTTGTCATCTTTGTTCTCTTAAAACAAGTTGTTAAAAGGGAATTTTGAGTTGTTGTGATTAATTAATTGAGCTAATTATTGTTCGTGCTAACATAAAGCTAGATTTTTTGAGAAGTACACAAAATTGTTTAGTATGGCAATAATTGGTGCAATACTTTATAATCAAAATTACTCAGTTAAAATAAAAAATAAGCAGGCAGTAGTCACATAAAGGAACCAAAGAGAAAATAAAAGTTATTATTTCATTCTAATATATACAATGTGGCTCACTAAGGACCACGAGAGTCCTGTAAAATTGTTTTTGGGTGGGTGGTCACCCTAGTTCAAATTTCATCCATTTACATTGATGAATATTTTTTTATAAGTTTGATTTATTAAGTTTCTCTTTCAGTTTAAAAATCTAAGAGGTATTGGAAATTACTGAACATGAAACATTATTCAATTACTAACAGCCCTAATTAAGTATATTATGATTATGTTTTAGGGTCCAAAATTGTGTGTTAAAATGCTAAAATAAAGCATTCTTTTGGGATTGTTTTTTAATGGAAGGAAAAGCAAGAGGATAATAATATTCAAGGATGTTATTAACTATGTCTTTAAAAGTTCAAAGAAAATGCATTCTTAAATAATACAAAATGGAGCCATTATCGCGAGACATGTTTAATTTAAGCCACTCTGCGGTACGCAGTATAACTGACGCAAATTTGAATATGGGAAAAATAAAATAATTCTATTCATCTACATGACTAGAGATTTGCTTAGGGGATTTTGAAAACAATAATTTGTGATCGGCGAGCATTTGAAATAAAAAGTTAAATTTTTGACAAAAAAAGGGCAATCCTTTGTCAGTGTTAATATCGAGTAATCCTGGAAATGTTATTTTAAAGATATGGTCGAAAGGAGTGAATAGAATGAAAATTATTGGAAAAAAGTCTTTAAATTTTTAAGATATGCACTATACCAATGTACTTTCGTTTGAAAATGCTTGTAATTGAACACAAATTCCCTCTAACGACATATGTTAGTATTAACGACATGTGTGGAGTATTAGAAAAGTTAGGAATCAAAAAGTAAGTCATTAGGCTGTACCCTTACTGCATGTATCCACGTGATGCAGATGGTCATTTCGGAGCAGTCCGACAGGTATAGGAAAGAGTTCGGAATTTCAAATAAAAAATTTTGTTCCTTCTGATGCTGAGAAAATTATAGAAAACTAACAAAATCCAGTATGTAATGTTTTTTTCCCCATTAAAGTAAAAGTTTTCTACAACTTATTCATCTTTTTGATACATATTATTGTATAATGTATTATATTTGCATATATTAAGAAAGGACATATGAGAAATTTACTCAGTCATTATTTGTACATATTTTCTATAAGTTTTGAAAACTTTTAATTAACTAAAAGTATATCTCATAATATTCGGTATTAGGTCAATAATGTTAATTAAGTATTTTCTGATAGAATGCAAAAAATTGCCACTTAAAGCAGATAAATATATCTAGGTTATTATATCATTATCTTTTCTGCCAACAAACATTAAAAAAAACTATCAAAACGGGACGTTAGGTGCGGTACAACTTGCCTGACTAGCTGCAGCTACTTTCTCGTCTAAGAAATCAATAACTTTCGCACGTATGTATCTAAAATATATGCGACCGGCTATTAGTTTGCCTGCCAACAATAATTTCAATTACCTACCAGCAGTGGGCCGTTCATTTTTTCCAAAAATACGGCTCCCAGTAAATCAATGTTCAGATATACATAGATAGTATCTTTCAGCGTGCTAGTTCAAGTTGACTAAACTAGTAGGCAGGTAACTTTTCTTCGTTAGATTACGCCGTGTAAAAGAAAGGTATCAGATGGATAGTTTGGAATTTGGACGGAAAAGTTTAAAAAGTAAATTTGCTTCTGACATATATTTATTTAATTTAAAAAAGGAATGACCACCGGGATCGCCAAATCTCAATTCCAGAGAATTGTTTTTATCATCATCTAATTTTTCAGACTACACAATTTTTGTCTAACAAAAATAAATTGTACTTGAAATCACTGTTTCACATTTCATAATTAATTTAAAAAGTGTGGAGAAGTTCGCACTGATTGATAATACAGGTGGTTACATATTAGGGGACATCGTGTGCCAGATTTCACAGTACAGTTTATGTGAAAAAAAGTGACGCTATGGGACCTTTATAAATAAAATTTCTCATCCGTCTGACATATGGCAATAATTTTTAACAAAATCTCGACAAATTTCAAGAGACATCAGGATAAGAATTTCTCTTTTCATAATGGCATGTGTTAACTTTCTGAATTGTTTATTATACCATTAAATTATTTTTTTTATAACATTTTCTTTGATGAGAAAGTGTAAGTAATATTCTGTTATATAGAATACAGTGTATAATATACAAAAAACATTTATATGACATAAACTTGTTAGACTGTATTATGGATGATTAAATAACCATCTAAAGAAAATTATGGCTTTTAGTTAGTAATATAATATAAAATACAAACTATTATATCGTTCATTAAACGATGTTTATTACTTATTGTATGTCTTTTTCCTTTTGAAATCGAGAGAATATTAAATATTACCTTACTAAACAGCTAATGAGACTTTATCAATACTTTTTTAAAAACTTTCATTCATTCAACTCATTTATAACTTTAAACACATAACAATACTTACGTATTCATCGTGAGCTGGGGCATATTTATGTATCGTTAGTGGATAACAATCAGAAAATGTTGCTATTGTAAGGAACCATAACACCTGAAAAATGTTAATTTTTTTAGTGAAATAGTTTTGCTTAAAATGTTTGAAAGAGTTGACACAAAAACATTGTGGATGTTTGTTTGAATTTGTGGGATAATACTCTCTTTGTGATAAAAATAGTTTTGAGGGAACAGATATATCAATGTAAAAATTTGGGACATTTAAACTAAAGTGTTTGTATGTGATTGGTTGAATAGAATCTCGTGAAAAATTACACCAATCACAACCGATGAAACAGAATTGTGTTGTGTTGATCATATTATTTCAATTTTAGCGAAATGTATTTACCATCGTGAATAAAATTACTGTTTCAAAAAAATTACTGGTTAGGTGACTTGCAATCATTTATGAAAGTTCTGTATAACTTTTGAACAGTAAATATTTTAGTTCCAAAACATAGTGGTGCAAAAAAGCTGTCCTTATGTTGCAAACAATCCTACAATCATTAATCTATTAGGTAAAATTATTTATTTTTTCTGTTTTTATGTAGGTAGAAATCAAATGAATTAAATCCTTTAAATGGATAGATTTTTGTTGGTTCTAGATAATATTAGTTTAATTGATATGATTCCTAACCTTTTCAAGGTGAACCTATTAATAGAAAAACTCGTTAAACATTAACCATGATACTTCAAATGAATTAATTAGATCAAGTATTATAATTATATACATTTTCTTTGTTTCATAATAACTGTGCTATTATTTTAAATCAGAGGAAACTTGTTCAACAAATCTTAACAAAGAATTGACTACTTAAGTGATTTAACATCTGAAAAGTGAAAACTGGGTGAAGTAAAAGTAATACAATTCAACTGTTATCATGATTAAGAACATTACGTATAACAAAACGTATAAGCGTGAACATACGAAGTAATTATTTAATAAACAATGAGCTATTAACAAATGACATGCTCTAAAAAGTTCCTTCAACAATAAGTCCTAAGTACCAAGGCATAGAAAAATGTTTGTTTGTTTACAAGTACTTTAAAACATCTTAAGAAAAAATAACTTTCAGATTTTTTAAATATGCGTCCAAAATTAAGTTTTATTATTTTTTAGATCTTAGCAATGTTTGTCATGTTTTGCGGCTTTCGCTGCAACAAGTCTACTACTACAGCGATTCACAGTTTTATTAATCAGCTGATTCAGTTTATTTCAAATGATGGTGAGTGCCCTGTTGGTATTTTCTGTGATCTCAGCAGGGCCTTCGACTGTGTCGATCATGACAAATTAATGTGTATTTTATATAATAACGGGATAATGGTTAAGTCTCTGAATTGGGTGATATCATTTCTGAAACGTGTAAGTCAATAGTGAGTATTAATAATAATCCTCAGAGTGAGAACACGATACATACGTACAAGTCAAATACTGTGGATATAAATACGGAAGAGCCTCAACGCTCGGTTTTGAGCCCTATACTTTTTCTATTATATGTTAATTACTAGCCTCAGTGATGAAGCTCACTTTACTCTTTACGCCGATGATACGTCTCTGTTAGTATCTGATAAATCATGCATTAATATAAAGTAAAAATGTGAACTCATTATTTCGAAATTAATTAATTGGTTTAATTGTTTATATCATTTTATTTTAACTCTGACAAAATACAATTCAATAGATTCCATACAACACAAAAACACATTGATAGTTTCAAACTGATTGTTAATGATAACACTGAATTTCTTGTACAAAATAATTCCAGTTGTAAGTTTTTAGGGGACTCATGTTTAAGCTGGAAAGCACATTGTGAATTCTTTTCATATAAACTGGCTTCTTTTTGTTATCTTTTTTTACTCTATTAAACGTGTACTCGACCGTGATCATTTAGTTAAATTATATTATGCACAAGTTGAAAGTCGACTAAGATATGGCATTCTTTTCTGGGGTGATTCTACTCTTTCACGAGACGTTTTTGTAGCCCAGAAAACAATACTGCCTTGCATTGCTGATGTCTCTAGCACACATTCATGTGTAAATATTTGTAGAAAATTTAAACTTCGTACCTTGTATGACCTATATATTTATGAGATCTGCCTGTTCATTGTTTACCAATTCTGATATCCATAATAAAAATACTAGGACTAGGGATGACTTGCATCTTCCTTCCTCCAGAGTAAATATTACCTGTAATGCTCCAAGTCGTATTGTAGCCAACATTTTTTATCAGTTCCCAAGTCACATAAAAGCTATTTATAATGAAAAAAAATTAAATACGATCTTAAATTTTGTTTGACTGAACAGTGTCTTTACAGTATCGCAAATTTCTTGAAATAAATGTCTGCTGTATTATTATATTTACATTGTTTTAATTTATGCATTTATGTGTGTATGTATTTATATATATTATTGGTTTATATATGTGTGTGAATATTTATGTATATACATATGTGCTGTTTGTTTTAGCTTTAATGTTTGACTTCCCTTATACATTGTTATATGTCTTTTATAAGAATAAACCATTTTTGAATTTTGAATTATTGAACGAATGAAGGGTGATACCTGAAACTGAAGTAATCTATTTCTTGATATTTTTCTTTCAAGTGACTATTTTTTAATTATATTTTAGTCAGATGGTACCACTATATCAATTATGTAAGCGATATTTTCCGTTTTATCCTGAAATGTAATATCAGGTCTATTATGTGCGATAATTTTGTCAGAGCGTATAGTCAGGTCCCAATATAATTTATAATATTTCTTCCCCAATATTGTTTGTGGTGTGTATGTATAATACGGATCTGCTTCTTTATACTTACAGGAAATATTGTAATGCTATTGTATTGTATTGTATTTGTAAACTCAACACTTGCTAATAGTTTGCATCCCGACATTATTTGTTTTTTCGTGTGTTTCTGAAAATAAATGGCACTTTCTACATTCAGCATTTGTGATTATATTGTTTCCTAAAATATGTTTTTTATAGGCATTTGTGGCTAGGACCTGGTCTTGAATTGCAAGTAGCAAACCATCAATGTAACTGTCCTTTCTGTAGAAATTTATATGGTTGTTCCCTATTTGTCTATTCCTGATTGACATTAATATACTTATTAACCATGAAGCGGTGTGGATGACCAATTTATTTTTCTCTGTTCTATTGAACTGAATACAATAGGGCGTTCCTATGTAATGTGTGCTCTATATTACAGAAAAATCTTAAGGATTTTGTCTGTTTGATGTACATTCTTTGCTTTTTTTCGGAAAGAAATCGCACACCGTATAAAAATTATAGAATTTTGTCAATATAGAACTTGATGGCCGCTGCATAAAATTCTCTATTGGGGTTCATGTTAGATAAAATCCTAATTTGAATGTACCTGTTACACATATTTTTATGGAAATAAAGACATTTATTATTATTATGTATCTACAGACTATGTGTACCTACACCAATACATAACATAGGTATCTATTAATTCTTACAATAAAATATTGATTAAACATGATACATTTTGCTTAAAATAAATTTTTTGACTTAATTTTAGGTAAGAAATATGTCAATTGGTTTATTTTGCAAAATAAACATTTCTCAAAGTCAAACGATAAACACTAGAATGCTTCCTCTTAAGTTTAGTGACTCTAAAACATTTTTGATTATTGGATTAGATTTATTGTTACGTACTGTAGCAATTTATAAAAAAGCAAACGTAGAAGTTTGCAGTAAAATTCTATTTGATATTTCAATCTTTTAAGATTTTATCAACATTAGGTATCGGTGTCATATATAAACATTAATTATTATACTGAATTTGTTCGAATTCAGTGGAAAGTCATTGAAGCAAATTGACGTTTTAATAAAATAAGCAAAAAACAAAGTGTATACAAATATATTCAAAACACAATTTAATGAATACTTTTTATTTTATGATCATTAAGGCTTCAGAGTGTTCGAGGAAAGTATAAAATCATTTTAGAACGTTACGAGTATGTAAGACACCTTGCTGAGATATGGTTATCTTCCCAAATCATATATTCAAATATTTAACTGGCCTGTTCTAATTCTGGTAATTTTCAAAATATTCTCGTACCGAGTATTTGTTTCATGGTAACTGTTTTCATCAAAGGATTCTCTTTGTTTCGTCGCGGTAGATTGAAGATACATGGCAAACTCCCGAAAAATTTGCTACTACTACCTTACAAATTTTGTAAACTATCCTAAGCAGACGTAGTTTGCAAGGTTCTATTGGTTTTCTTTCGGTTTTCTTGGCATTTTAAAATAAAATAAATTATAAAATTATTTAATTGTACCGGTAAAACTTGCTTCCAAATTTTATTAATACATGTGGCCGAATTATTATTTTGAGATCAAGAAGCGAGTCCGCAGTAAGAGTGACAAAGTGAGAAGACCTTAGGAATAGGACAGCTACCTCCTGTGCAAAAATTTTCTTTAAGTCTGGTAAGTATAGGTATTTAAAGAAGGTTTTATATTATATATTTAAATATATGAGCAAATTACCATCTGAAACTCGTGGACAAAATAAATTTGCTCAAGCTTATCAACAAATAATGTAACAAAATACAGTTCGTACGATATTTGTTGATATAGACTTCCAAGAAAACCCCAGCGTCACTTTCTTGGAATTAACCGCATTCAACAGCCGAGGTAGAAAGACATCGACGGCGTAGCGTTCACCGTAGCAGCTTACAGTGTTTTGCAGTTATGAAGGCGTGTTTCTTCGTAAGTTTATGGTCCTGTGTATTTTCATTGTAATTTCTTATTAAAATAAATCAATGGAGGTGACAAATAAAAGAAAGGAATTTAATTCCCAATTGAAGAGTATCGTATTTAACGTAACGTAACGTAATAATTATTTTAAGAGAATATTTCCAAATGAAATTAAAATACAATTAAAAAGCCGTGTTGTGGCTGCTAAATGAGTGCCTTTTCACTACAGGGAGAATCTTAAGTGAAAATGTTGATTTACAAGATCTAAACAATGGTGATAGTGAAGTAAAATTTAGTTTTCCTAAAAAACGCGAGAAAATATGCATAACAACCAACATACCATAATAAGTGCAAATGGATATTAGAAACATGACATAATTGTCACAAAACGGAATGATATTGAGTTACTCTGACATAATTTCAAGAAAATTTAAATACGGAATAGAAGTTTTCGGGAAAACGTACCTCCCTGTACACCATTATTAAAAAACTTGGATTCAGGTGGAGGAAAACTAAGAATAATCGTCAGGTGCTAACAGAAAAGACTGATATTCGCGCTATAAGGATGTACTATCTGGACAAAATTAGGTATTATAGGAGCCAAGGTACACCAATTATTGTCTCTTTTTAGGTGAAACTTACATTCACGCTGACCAAACTAGTTCCAATACTTGGACAGACAATACCAGTAACGGTTTGCTATCAACCATATCTAAAAGCGATTAGTTATTGTTCACGCCGGTGAAATGGGTTTTATCCGTAACTGTCTGTTGATTTTTAAATTTAGGACTAAATCTGGAGACTACCATGACGACATGAACTCGCAAAATTATGAGAAGGGGCTTACAGAGAGCTTACTTAGTAATGTACAGTACAAGTACAAAAAGCACCTACCTGCACCTCAAAAAAAAAAAACAGATATGGTAGATTGGTTAATAAGTAAAAAATATATTTTTCGCCGAATTTGCTTAAGCCACAGCTGCATGAAATTATTAAACTTAATAAAAAACAACACATTCTTTACAAATTGGATCGTCTACTCCAAGATTTTTAATTTGAGGGGGACATCATTACTTATTTTGCAGTTTGCAATTTCAAATGGCCCTACAGGGTGGTATGATACTTCTTTTGAAAGCACTTTTGATACTGGTTTTGAATCCGTAAAAAATAAAAAAATCGTTATTCGTTTTCAAGACAAAAACATTGAAATTAAATTTTTTACATTTAAAATTATTTTATTTTAATTTATAGCATGTGTTAACCACTGAAAAGATTTTCATCAAAACATTAATTATTAAACTGCAAAAAGGTTTCATATGATAAAAACAATGATGAACGAAACGTAAAGAAGGTTGAAGTTCATAATTTTTTGTGAATTTCACTGCATTCCATTCCATTTTACTTTTTTGTTTGATATAATTTTATCGGAAATGTGTTATTGTTGAAACCATTTTCAATTGTATCAAATCTCATATTCTGCTTACAATCAAAGTGTAACTTTTAAATTTATCAATTTTTCATTATGGTTTATTCGTTAGCCGAAATATTTGAAATAATTTTTCTTTATGGAAAACAAAATGAATGTAGAGAAACTGCTCGAATTTTCAATGAGTTGCTTCCTGATCGCCAAACAAGTGACACATATCTGAACCAGATTGTTAAGAAATTTCGAGAAACTGGATTTTTAGCAAATCTGAAGAAAACCAATCGTCCTAACGAATTAATGGAAGTAGGTATTTTAGGCGAACTGACAATGAATCCACACCAATCCGTGCGATATTAGAACGTACCACAGGGATCCCTAAGTCCAACGTTCATTGAATTTTGCACAAACATAAATTGCATCCGTATAAAATACATCTTGTGCATTGTTTGAACGAGGATGATCCGGATCGAAGAATAGAATTTTGTTATATCATGTCTAACAGAATTACAGAAAACCGAAATATACTTTACAATATCTGCTTCAGTGATGAGTGTACGTTTTTTCTCAATGGTACAGTGAATAGGCATAATATTCGTTATTGGTCGGGTGAAAACCCTCATTGTGTTAGGGAATCGCACACTCAGTATCCAGAAAAGCTGAACGTCTAGGCAGAAGTGTTAGGTAATCACATAGTTGGTTCATTCTTTTTAGATGCCACATTGACTGGAGCCAGCTATTTACGTTTGTTGGAAGATCATATTGATACCCATGATCACAGAAATTCTGGAGAATGATGATCAGCTGGATGAAAATCTTGTGACGTTCCAACAAGATGGAACTCCACTCCATTTTGAGCGATGAGTTCGAGCTTATTTGGATAAGAATTTTCCAGGACAATGGATAGGTAGGCGTGGGGCTATAGAACGGCCAGCTTGGTCTCCCGATTTGAGTCCAAACGACTTTTTTCTCTGGGTACATCTCAAATCAGTGATTTTTTGCAAGTCAATCCGAAAATCTTGAAGATTTAAGACAACGCATTGTAAACGAATGTCGGAATTTAACTCCATAAGTTTTTGCAAATGTAAGGAGTTGCAGGCTCCATACTTGCCAAGAACAACTGGATGCATAATTTGAGTATCTATTATAAACAATTTTAAACGTAAAAATACAAAATTCCAAAAATTTAATTTCTTTTTTTTTTCTTAAAAAGGCATAGTGATTTGTTTATTTACGGATTCAAAGTTAGTATCAAAAGAGCTTTCAAACGATGTATCACACGCCCTGTAGTGCCATTTGAAATTTCAAAGTTGATGCCTCGATCCAGGAAGGGGTGGCAACTGCAAAATAAGTAGTGATTTAAGTCGATGTCTTCCTCAAATTAAAAATCGACGTGTTTTTGAAATTTTTTCAAAACTTCATATTGAACGAAATGTTCAGGTGGAAAATTTTACATGGAACACTCTGTATAATGGTACGATTGTATCCTGATACCCCCCCCCTGTGCGTTCAGTATGTAATATTTTAGTTTTTTTGTACAAGATGTAATTAAAATGATTTAACACTTCAATAACGTGACAATTAACAAAAAAGTTGCTATAAATATGTGTCCGGAAACACTTCGTTTTTGAAGAACAGGGTGTTCAAAGATAATGAAATGATTTGGTTTATTCCAAATTGCAAAACACATTGAGGAAAGTCATAAACATGGTATACCTACATTTATTTTATCACTTATCCCGAAAACGGCACATTCTAGTAACATACATTTCTGTAAGACTTATAATATTTTGCCAAATTTGAAGAAGCTTAGGAAAAAATGGGAAAAGAAAATTACTATGNGAGGATGATCCGGATCAAAGAATAGAATTTTGTTATATCATGTCTAACAGAATTACAGAAAACCGAAATATACTTTACAATATCTGCTTCAGTGATGAGTGTCCGTTTTTTCTCAATAGTACAATGAATAGACATAATATTCGTTATTGGTCGGGTAAAAACCCTCATTGTGTTAGGGACTCGCACACTCAGTATCCAGAAAAACTGAACGTCTGGGCAGGAGTGTTAGGTAATCAAATAGTTGGTCCATTATTTTTAGATGCCACTTTGACTGGAGCCAGCTATTTACGTTTGTTGGAAGATCATATTGATGCCATGATCACAGAAATTCTGGAGAATGATGATCAGCTGGATGAAAATCTTGTGGCGTTCCAACAAGATGAAGCTCCACTCCATTTTGAGCGACGAATTCGGGCTTATTTGGATCAGAATTTTCCAGGATAAGTAGGCGTGGGGCTATAGAACGGCCAGCTTGGTCTCCTGATTTGAGTCCAAATGACTTTTTTCTCTGGGAACATCTCAAATCAGTGGTTTTTGCAAGTCAATCCGAAAATCTTGAAGATTTGAGACAACGTATTGTAAACAAATGTCGCAATTTAACTCCAGAGGTTTTTGCAAATGTGAAGTTGTTTCGTAGACGGCTCCATGTTTTCCAAGAACAACTGGGTGCACAATTTGAGCATCTTATATAAACAATTTTAAATGTAAAAATTAAAAAAAAAATATTCCTTTTTCGCATAATGATTTTTTTATTTTTCTTTACGAATTCAGTCAGTATCAAAAGAGCTTTTAAACGATGTATTACAGTTGATACCTCGATCTACGAAGGGGTGGCAACTGCAAAAAGTAATGATGTAAGTAGATGTCGAAACCGGCACATTCTAGTAACATACATTTCTGTAAGACTTATAATATTTTGCCAAATTTGAAGAAGCTTAGGAAAAAATGGGAAAAGAAAATTACTATGTCCACTCTCGAAATTATAGGCATGGTAGATTTGAAAAAAATCGCATCAGCATTTCTTATGAAATTAAAAAGAAAAGTGGTTATTAAATCTTTGACACTGTATACCGTGAAATGTACCGCCTATTATTAACAACTTAAAATAAAAACAAATTAATTAATTGGGTATTAAAAATTACTACCTCATTTTTGTATATACCATAGATAAGAATACTTAATATTAGCTTATTAAAGGAAACTACGAATGTCTTGAAAGTACCTACATACTGATATTTATTTTCTCTTTCAGTAATAACATTTCTACTATTGTTCTGTCTCAAAGAAAATAAATGATTTTTGAATTGAAATACTTTTAGAACTAAGACCGTGCTGAATTATGTGAACGTAAAACGTAAATAATAAATTTCACCAACCTGGCGCATCCACATTATTTCAAGTTCAAGTTCCTTCTACAAAACATTCACGCAACCGACACAACTACTTTCACAAACTGCAACCGGGTGAATCTGAAGATATATTTATAACATCTTCACACATCCCTCCCATGGCAGCCATATTCCATATTTTCAAAATTGATTAAGTGGCCATAGACAGGTGTTTGTCGTAAAATATATCTTCCATAAAATTAATCTTTATATGTACGTTTAGCACATAACCAATGAAAGAAAAAAATATACGCAGTACTTATAGTTAATTTTTCATTACTAGTGTATGCATTGTATTTATTTAAACAAATTATTCGTTGGCTCTCTGGAAATACTTGAAATATTTGAAAATTAAGCAAGAACTATCAGGAATGCATTGGTACATTTTCTAATAATATGTTTTTCTAAAATCTTTTTAAAAATAATAACTTTTTAACATCCAATATAGCACCAAAATGAGTTACTTTTTTGCTACATATTGCACTATACTGTTTTATATATAACAGAGGATTGTACATAAATACTTCATAAAATACAGTTTTACGAACTCATTTCTGAACAACATTTTCGATGAGAAGTAATGGCGTCTGTGAAGTCTTAGCGCCCATAAAAAAATAAGTGGTTAAAATAACTGGCACTATATAAAAAACAAAGTGGGGCTATGTTCTTCGACTCCAATTACAGAATTATCTTATACTTTCTTAGCCTATGAATTTTTGATCTGGCTTTCTTGTTCTCGGGCTAGGTTCTGTGGGGGCGGACGCGCTAGCAGAAGCCTTAGGCCAGCCCTAATGTTCATTTCGGTTCTTGTAGATGGAACCACTCTTCTGACAATGGTGATCCTCTGGGACGTTCCGTAATGGCTTGTGTCACTGGTCGCATCCAATGCTTCTAAATGTTTTCGTTCTTTGCTGCCGGCATCTGCAGTGCTGACTTTGCACTTGCTTTGTCCCGGCTGAGTGCAGTCACAAAGGCCTGAGGAGCGGTTCCGGCCGTCTAGCTTTAGAACCGACAATAATCAAAATGAATGCCAGTGCGGGCCTAGGGGTTCTGATGGCGAATTCGCCTCCATAAAGTCTAGTCCGAGAACAACAAGGGCAGGTCATAGATGCCCAGCTAAGGTTAAGGAGGTGCAAGGTAATTCTGTAACTAGCGAAAACCATCGTACTTTAAGCACGAGCCGCGAAAAGGGAATATAAAGTGAAGCGAATAAAGAGAAACATACAGGGTGTCCCAGCGAAAACGAAATAGACTTTTTAACTCTTAGGGAAATTATTTTTCTGAAAAATGCCGAGACAGGTCGGTTTTTGATCGTAGGGGGACATCTTTTCACATAAACTTCTTGTTATAGACTCTACCCCCTTAGGGAGGGGGGTAACGCCACCCAAAAATTTTAGGAAAGGAGGGTTAAGTGATACATCGTTTGAAAGGTATCCTAATTCTCTACACAACCGTGTTTTATTTTTTGAGTTTGACCGATTAATTTAGGAGGTACAGATTGTTAATAAAAAATCTACTTTTTACAAATTTATTTGCAAATTTTTACACAATTAAGTGTTCAAATTGATGATCTCCAGCCTCCATTAGTAACATAAGTTTTGTAAAAAGCGTGCACGCACATTTTGTAACATTTCTGGAGTAACTTGGCGGCATTCGTTGACAATGCGTTGGCGTAGATCTTAAAGAGTAGTGAAAGTGGAGTGAAATAAATTTTGGACTTTAAGTAACCCCCAAGAAAAAGGCCAAAGCAGATAAATCCGGTGTTTGTGCTGGCCATTCTATGACACCTCTTCTCCTAATCCACTGATTCGCAAACATACGATCAAGATACTGCTCAACAGGCAAGGCCTGGTGTGGGGGAACTACATACTGTTGGAATATCAACTGGTCTTCGAGTTAATTCTCATTATTTACGATAATGTTTGTCGACGCTGGATAAATGTTGTTCTCCAACAAATCCAGGTACATCTCCCCGGTGAGATTGCCTGGATGTTGTGTATGACTCTTATTTATTTATTTATTTATTTATTTATTTTATTTATTTTAAGATACATCTGCCCAACAGCTAAATACCAATTACTGGGCAGGCTAATTACACACATAGTATTTACATATATAAAGTTAAGATAATAAAACAAAAACAATCGTAAAAAGCAAGCAAATGGACAAACTAAACAAGTTAAGTTAAGTAAAAGATTTAAAACACATAAATAGCACAAATTAAAACAAGAAAAAGGAATACTAAGATCCCAATATTATAGTCTTGATTTTGGAAACAGATGAAAAAAACAAGTCTATTGAACCTTGGAGCGACGTATAACTCATGCACATCCGATACAATGGAGATGATGATAACATATGCGTTTTCGGAAAAGGCAATCTAAAGGTGTCACGATGCCGAGAGTTCAAGCGAGGTACATTGAATTCTAGTCTGTTCAGGATTTCAGGACAGTCCATCAAATTATTAACGATCTTAAACAATATAATTATAGCAATACAGAGTCTACGGGAATCTAGGCTGTTAACTTTGTACTCTGCCAATAACATATCATGGGGATAACCTATAGGTGGATAAAATCCATGCAGCTTAAAATATACGTGTTTCAAGAACTTTCTCTGTAC